ATTTCATATTTTTCGCTAATAGTATGGATCAAAAATTGAAATTGTTAACTAATTGTATAGATTAACATTTTAACCATCTGAAGGATGAAATTAATAGAACATTTTTTAAATAAATAAATAAAAATACATTTCTCTGCCCAAACACTGACATTTTAAGTGGATGATGATATGTTTCAACAATATTTACTTTTATATAATTTTTAGAATTAAGTGTTTTTTAAAAAAGATTCAATAAAATGAGTTCCAATAAACGCATTTGAACATTTAAAAGCTGCTGATGAGGGTCATCGATTCTCTTCAACAGGTCTGTGAGGGAACAAATGAAAAACTGTAATAGTTTTATCATGTAGTCTGAGATTGTGAAGCAGGAAGTCTTGTAGCACAGTGGTGGAAGCTGATGGTCACTCAGTCAATAAACTGTGTATTTTTAAGATTAATACATGGTAGAATTTTCAAAGGCTGATTTGTGTGTTTTTAATTCATGTTATGCCTGCAAAGATTAAAAAGACAATTAAATATTTCACCTCTATTGCACATTTTATGTCTTGCAGAATGGGGAGGACCCCTTAACTGAACAAATACAAATGAAAAACAAAGTCTCCATCATTGTGGCATTTTACACAATTTTCTATTTAATTTTTAGTGTGTTTGTGTATTATTGAGAACTTCACACTGATGATGACCTCAGAGTTTCTGAAACCCTGAACATGGCTACAGAGATCACTGTGACTTCGAATAAGTAAGAAACACAAAAATAATACAACATATAAAAACAACTATTTGAAAAAGTGTGAGGATGACTCCAGGGCCACCAGGGTATGAACCACCATCCTGACTGCTGTAAAAAGTAATAATAACCAACTAAAGAACATCCTCAAGACCTGCGAGCTAAAACCAATTATCTGAAGTCACACAGATGTCAGGCTGCTGTTACTCATTTGTTGGATTAATCCACAGTCCTAATTAATTTCCCTTTAATTAGCTGCCAGATATCCCTGCGTCATGGTGCCTACCACAACACGGCGTTGGCTGCAGCAAACAGGGCTGAGGTCCTGCACGGTCTCTGCTTCCAGCTCACCAGGCCGGTCAGGCGACACCCAGCGCGGCCGGGAGGCGTCTCCTCCCCGCATTGTGTCCGGCTCTGCGGCCCCTGCGGCCCCGCAGCCGCCTCCCCGCCGCCAGCAGGTCCTGCTTCCCGGCTCCCCAGCATCGGAAAACGCCCGGGGTCCCTCCGCTCCTCCAGCAGAGACCAGTGTCAAGTTAACGGGAGGATTACCGGGGAAGTCCCGGTGCTGGCTTTCCACAATAAATGCACCACATTTTCCCTCCTGACCACTAAATAGTCAGCTTTATTTCAGATTAAGTAGCTTTAAAATCATTTTGCTGTCTGAGAAGATTTTTAAAAAGTAGTTCTGAAGTATGTTTATTTAACATTTTTACTGAACAAAATTGTGCCTCTGTGTTTTTTTATAAGAATAATTGTACACTTTCTACTGTTGTAATTTGAACAGGAAATAAGTGTGAGAGGAGAAGTTTTGAGTGAAGATGTTCAAGCTAATAACACTCCCATGGACGTCACTGACTTTTAGTATTCTAGCCTGGATTTGTGGCATTTTTGTTCACCATCATCTAAGATAACTGTATAAAAGTTAGCCAGCAGTAAAAAAAATATTCATTATTATCTGTCTATTAGGCTAACTAGCTGACTTTAGAATCAGAACTTTATTGTCATTGCACGTGCCACGAGCACATGTCAAACAAATAACACTATACTATATTAACTTGCTGTAGTGCTAGTTATCTAGCTAACTACTTGACCCAGTATTAAAATGTTATGCTTTGTTAACCTACTTTGGCACTAGCTCACTAGCTAAGTAGCTGACACAATAATATATTAATTTTTTTTAGTACTAATTAATTAAATGACTGTATGTTCAACCACTAGCTAATACGCTAACTGGCTGACTTTATGTCAAACTAATAGAGTTATGCTATATTAACTTGTTGTTGCACTAGCTAACTAGCTGGTTCTATGTTAAACTAACAAAGTTATGCAACATTAACTTGCTAATGCACTTGCTAACTAGCTGACTCTATTTCAAACTATTCCGTTGCACTATATTAACCTTCTGCAGCACAAACTCGCTAGCTGACCCTATGTTAAACAAAGAGATGTATGCTATATTAACTTGCTGTAGCACTAGCTAACTAGCTGACCCAATGTTAAGCTAATAGCATTATGCTACATTAACTTGCTATTGCACTAGCTAATTAGCTGACTGTATGCTAAACTAATAGATTTATGCTATATTCACTTGCTGTGGCACAAGCTAATTAGCTGACTATGTTTAACTTGTAGACTAATGCTATATTAACTGCTGTAGCACTTGCTAACAAGCTATCTAGCTGGTTCTATGGTATACTAATAACAATATGCTACATTAACTTGCAATTGCACAAGCTAACTGGCTGACTTAATGTTAAACTATTGCGTTATGTAATTTTAACTAGCTGTGACACTGGCTAACAAGCTAACGAGCAGACAGTATGTGAAATTGACTGGTGAGGTAAGATTACCCCTGGGGGCTTCCTTCCCCAGTATAGGAGGTATATTCCCCAGATCCACACATATTGTATATTTAGTTTAATAATAACAAAGCTGCAGTCTGTTATGACTTAATTACTGTTTAAATTTGTTCGCTTAAGCACACTTCTTGTGTTTATATTATATTAATATTTTAATATAAGTTTTTTTTTTTTTTAAAGAAAATAGATGTTCTTAACAGAGACCTCTTTCCCTGGTTTTCTCGACACAGATTTTTATAGTAAAATTAACAGTGTCAGTTGATACTCTGCTGCAAATAAAAGTTATGCATTTAAATTGCAGGTAGTTTAAAGTTTAAAGTGGAGGAAAAACTTAAATATTTCTCTTTGTACTAAAATAAAGTAGCAACACCTGAAAATGTAGATGATCAAGATCAATCTAATGGGTCACAAGATGAATGAAATGAATCAAATTAAAATGCATTTTTTAATTGATTATTTTTTGTCATTAAAAAAATAAAGAAAAATCAACAATGTGACATATAGCAATGTTTTACTTTCTGAATATGACTTCAGATGCAGCAGCTTCTTCAGCTTTTAATGTAGATTATCACATTTCATTGACATCCACATGAGTAAAGCATTTTATTGTCACGTTTTTCATGCTCTGCCTTTATTATGAAAGAGAAACTCGCCTGGCTCCGTGTCTCCTTCCAGACTTGGGCTGCTTCTTGGGTTGTTGCGCTTCATTTCAGTGACGTCAGGTTTGTGTGTTTGCACATTTATTTGAACATGATGCCATTTGTTTGTTTGGCAATAAATTACTGTAGAGACAGCCAGATTCTAACAGAGGTCGTTTTGAAATAAGATTATAGTCTTAAAAAAAATAAATCTGATGTTTCTTTGGAGCCAAAAACAAGGATGGCTGTTAACAGGGGCTGCAAGGTGGCGCAGTTGGTAGTACTGTTGCCTCGCAGCAAGAAGGTTGCCGGTTCGCGTCCCGGTGGGGGCACCGGAATCTTTCCCCATGCAGCGTGGGTTCTCTCCGGGTTCTCCGGCTTCCTCCCACACAGTCCAAGAACATGTTGAGGTTAATTGGTGATTCTAAATTGTCCATAGGTGTGACTGTGAGTGTGCTTGGTTGTCTGGCCCTGCGATGGACTGGCGACCTGTCCAGGGTGTCCCCTGCCTTCACCCTAAGTCAGCTGGGATAGGCTCCAGCCCCCCGCGACCCTAATGAGGATTAAGCGGTGTATAGAAAATGGATGGATGGATGGGCTGTTAACAGTAGGCTGCTGTAAACATTAAGATGTTCACATAACTGTTTATTAAGCAATTGGCTGTCAATTTACACAGCTAAGTTAAAATAACATTAAAACCCTGGAACTGTGAATAAACCTAAAACATAATTATTTTAGGACAACATTAAAATGTTTGATGTAAAAAAAGATGTTAAAATACATTTGCAAATATATTGGAATCTTCCTAATATTTAATTTTTATTTAATAGAAGAAATGATTACGTTCAAGTTTAATGCTTTAAACATCCATCCATCATCTATACAACACTTAATCTTCACTACAGGCTGGAGTCTATCCCAGTTGGGTCTATCACAGGGCTACACTTAGAGACAGACAACCAAGCACACTCACATTCACACCTATGGACAATTTAGAATCAGCAATTAACCTCAACATATTTTTGGAGTGTGGGAGGACGCCAGAGAACCTGGAGAGAACATGTAAACTCCACACAGAAAGATCCTCACTGGGACGTGAACCGGGATCTTCTAGCTGCGAGGCAACAGTGCTAACCACCTTACAGTCCTGCGATAAACATATTCCCCAAATTCGATGTAATTAGTAAGAACAGAAAAAGAAGTATTGGGTCTGTAATTTCACATAGATTTGTTTGTTGAACAAAGATAGACATAGATAAAATCTACACACATTTGTAGTCAGTATATTGTGTTCCATATAATCGGTAATTTGATTGTTTTAACACATTAAATATCCCCTATTCAACACTAAAAAATATTAAAAAATAAATTAAGATCAGACAAAAAAAAGAGATTCATTTGGGAAAATTCCAGTATTTTTATGTTAATTTTCCATTATTTAACAGTACGCATTTTTGGGGTTTTTTTTACAGTGTACTCTTACATTTTGTCATATTGCCAATGAGAGCCATTTGCTACATGATATAAAAGAAGGTAAATAAAATAAATCAACTGCTCCCATGTTTTAAAGTTGTATTTAGGGAGTAGTTTTGTGTCCTGGTGTGTTGGAAATGAATCTCCTCAGGGTTTTATACAGTGTAGGCAGCTAAAAATGTGTTGCTTGCTTGATACTGATCTCCTACGATTTGGCTCTATTTTTCAGATTCAGGTATAATTTCAGATTGTGAGAGTTGTACGTTATTTCATTCAATTTTTTATTGATTACTTTAGATCTATCTATTTGTTTTAGTTTTAAAAGTTTATTTTCTTCACATTGAATGTTAGAGCGTCATGCTCATCTGACAGATGGGTACTTTGCTGGTCTCAAAACATTTTCTGTAACTCTGGAAGCTGACTGTGGTTTTAAATATCCGCAGTGTAACTTGCTAACCAATGCTGACAAAGTTATTTTCTTTTAGGATTTTCTGGCGGTTGTTGCAACAAAGTTGTCTCAATAACTTTGAAATAGTAATGAACAGCTGATTGGAGCTGAAGTTTGGCTGGTCAGCCTGCATTCACTGTAGTAAGTAAATCAGGAGTCATTTTGATGATTAACTCGTTGTTTAGTTTGTGCTAATTTGCCAACTTCAGTTTGCAGTGGAAATCAAACCCAAAGGTCAGACCATGAACTCAAATGTACCTGAAAACTGGCTTAATTAGCATCTTTGAGATCATCACATTTAACTATTGTGACTTTTAATGAGTAATTGCCAGCATTATTAAAAAAAAAAAAAAAACATTTTATGAATTAATTAGTAAAACAAAATAACAGATGACACTTGCAGGAGTCGGAAAGAACCCATCTTGTGGAGTAACGAAGGGAAAGTACAAAGAGACGATGACCCATTTTGCACCGCCGGCTGCACTGTTCTGGCCGCGTATCAACACCAGAACTCGCTGCCAAACCGTGATCTCCAACAATGACCTGCTCCACTTTCCAGCGCCGGAACCGCTTCTTCACTCCACGCCGGTCCACCGGGCCTGACACACATCAACACCAACAGGCCTCCGGTCTACACAAATGCATTTTTGCTTTGAAAGGTAATCAGAATCAGATTTATTGCCAGGTATAGTTCACACAATACGAGGAATTTGTTCTGCTGGGTTGGTGCAACAAAACAACAATAAGTACAGAGTAAACAATAAACATACAGTAAAACAAAGTCACTAGGAATAAAAATAACTGTAATAGTGCAAAGAATCAAAGTTAAATTTAAATAAGAACCATAGAACAGTAGTGTTAAAAAAAAAAAAAAGTACCATTTCTACTCTATTTTAAGATTCAGCTGCTGCTTAGAAGTTGCTGCAACCTAACGATGGGTAGTTTGATTTCATCTCACTGGAAATACAACTGAAACTAAATGGCTAAACCAAAACACAGGGAGTTAAGAATTTGTGTTCATAATTACATAAATTAAATACATAAGACTTAAAAATAATTAAATAATGTCGAAAAACAAGTTTGAACAACTTCATTTTTATGAGTGATTTAAAAAACTGTGTTTATGCTGCCAGCCATTAAGTAAACTGTAACTAAACTGTTATTTTTTTGGTGTTGAACCCAAGCATGATTTTTTTGTGTTTATGCAGCAATGTTAAAAATTCTTTTTGTTTCTTTTTCCTTTTTTTTTTTTTTTATCCTTGAGTCTTCATGCAAAAAACAAATGGTTAAACGAAAACCTTTGAAAGAATAAACTGTATCCACCTGACAGAAGAAACACAGGTATACATAATCCAAAACATAACAAGGAGTGTTTACTGATGTTGCACTTCTGTGTTTGAGGTTTGGATAAGTTTAGGCACTAAGTCTGCAAGATAAAGTTTGGGAAAGAGTCAAGCCTTGATCGATAAAACAAACCAGTGTCGGCTGTTTTGACAATATGAACCATGACTACTCATGTCAATGACCCATCCATCCACCCCAACCTCCTCCCTGGGAGATTTTTTTTCTTCTTTTTTTTTTACCCCATTTTAACACTTTACTTCACTTTACTGTGACAGAATAGTGATTATGCTCGTGTCCACAAAGACCGCATTAAGATAAATTGTTTTAATCAACAGATGCTGTTATTTTCGCATCAAAAGTATTTGGATCACAGAAAATTTAAAGCCAGGTTTGGTCGTTTAAGTCATTCATTTTGGTCATTTCTTGCTCCTTAAAGTCCAGGTTATTGTGTTGTTAATGTGTTAGCAAGCAGTTGGGCTTTTTATACATCCACTACTTATATTATTCGATCTCTTTTTGCTCTGTTTTTGGTCACTACCTTCTCCTAAGCAAAATATCTCCCTCTTTAGCTGCCACATGCTCCACTATATTCACCAGAGCTTTTAACTGTGGGCAGTTTGATGCTGGACAGACGTTGTACTGTAGGATTTTAGAGCTCCTTCTCTGAAAATGAAGCAATGAGAGCAGTGAGAGTGAACAAAAACAGCTGAATAATGAGCAGAAATTCCCCGTAAAGCTCCGTAAAACTGAGGGAAGCCGTGAGTTCAGCTGCTGATTCTCTGTAATAACTGTACAAGCAGTGATTAGTTAAACATGATGATGAGAACAACGGGGTCGCGATAATAAACAATGTTTCATGAAGAAAAGAAAAGTCGTTTTATGCACTGAGTGATACTTTTCATTCATTCATATTTTTTCACAAATACCCACAGTTACAAACGAATTCACTGCGTGCACACAATACACACAAGTCTACAAGTGTGTTTATACACACTTTTCTTGCCACACGCCATTAACAGAACAGTTTTCTGTGTGTGTGTGTGTGTGTGTGTGTGTGTGTGTGTGTGTGTGTGTGTGTGTGTGTGTGTGTGAGCCACTAATTGGACTGAATTTCACTGGGCAACAAAAGATCAGACTCGAAAATTCCAGCTCTGGTTTGTACAGGCTCTGCTTTGTTGTCCTTTTGCTTCTGTTTGCTGTGTTAACAGTTATCTCTCTCCCCCTCTCTCTCTCCCCCTCACCCCTCTCTCTCTCTCTCTCTCTCTCTCTCTCTGTCTCTGTCTTTCTCTTAGCGACTCTCTCACTTTCCTTCTCTTTTCCCGTGCGGCCCATGAAAGGATTTTCGCCCCAAACGAAGCCACCCCAACTGCTGGGAGGCCAGAACCTGTGAGGGGCTTCATCCACCAGCTGAGTCTCTCCACCAGACTGTGCAGGAGCCTGTTGGACGCAACAATGAACTGGAGACCTTCACCGCTGTGGACCTTTGTCAGCGTCTCCATCCATGGGAAACTCGTCTCGTCCCTCGGTGCTGAGCCTGGACCTGAGCTTTCGGTGGGATTCTTCTGCTGATCTAGCAGCAGGATACAGCCTGAGGACAGGATGATGCTCGAGCTGCAGAGCAGCGAGGACATCAGTGGTCACATGGACCCACCAAGCGCTGAAGAGCTGGAGTGTAAGATCTGCTACTGCGTGTACAACCTGGGCAGTCGCAGGCCAAAGGTGCTCGAGTGCTGCCACCGTCTGTGCTCCAAGTGCCTTGCCAAGATCCTGGACCTGGGCGAGTCGCCCCCCGACGCCCTGGTGTGCCCGTTCTGCCGCTACGTCACCAGGCTGCCAGGAGAGGCGGTGAGCGGCCTGCCAGATGACTGCAACCTGGTGGCGATGCTGGCCCTCCGGAGCAGGAATCAGAGGAACCTTCACTTCCACCAGGACACCACTCCGGAGCTGCTGCTCAGCCCCCGACGCCTGAGCTCGCTGATGGGGGGAAACCCAGCTGTGATGTCCTCCTCCTCCTCCACCTCTTCTTCCTCCACCACCTACTCCACCATCCGGAGCTCCCCCAACTTTGTGGTCATCACCATCATGGAGCCTCCGCCGGCGTCTGCGTCCACCCAGGATCTCCACCTGCATCACCACTCCCTGGGCTCTCAGGGCTACCGCTCATCCAGCCTGGACTCGATGGCATCCATCACACAGCGGTGGACGGTGTGGAACTGTGCAGCGCTGCTGTGCCAGACTCTGGCCCGGGCACTGGTGTGGGTTCTGGGGCTTCTGTACTTCAGCTCGCTGCCCATGGGGGTATACCTGCTCATCATGCAGAGGACGACGCTTGGGGTTCTGCTGGTGAGCCTGGTTCCCGCCAGCCTCGTCATGATCATGGTCTACGGGTTCTGCCAGTGCATCTGCCACGAGTTCTGGGACTGCATGCCGCCATAACAGAACCAAATCAATGAGCTTTGAATTGACAATAGATGTTACCATGTAATCGACCATGAGAACGGAAAGAAGCTCGTTTCTTTACTGGTGAAGCGAGCAAGAACTTTATTTACATGACAAACAGCTCACAGTTTGGAGCTTTATTATTATTATTATTATTATTATTATTATTATTATTATTATTCATGTTAATCTGTGCTTTTTTTCTTTAGTTTGATAGACAACTAATGGTCCAGTAGAGTGTCAGATAGCTTAACCCTAAATGCAACTTCTGGAGGAATCTACTAAATGTCGTTCATAATAATGTTGTAGTGAGAAACCTGAAGGAACCTAACATGTTAACAGTAATAGTCTGACACCTTGTTGTCCAGCAGTTGTCCTTAGCATTTTCAAAGTGCCATAAATGTTTCAAATGTGAACTTTAACATCACAGCGTTCTCTAAGTTCTTGAAGCCAGCGTGAACAGCAGCGTGTTTTTAATGTGAAAACACGTTTGCACCAAAAAAATATGATCAGTGTGTTTTATTAACAAAAAAATGTAAACGTCACAAATGGGGGTAGTCATGTGGTCCAGAAAAGTACGAACGAATGCTTTTATAGATGACATTTGTTGTGTTTCGCATTCAGGAGAGCTGCAGGTTCAAACCCTGCACAGGTGGGAAGCCCTTTCAAAGTTTGGGCTCAACAAAAATAATTAATTGCATTATTTTTTTTTTAGTTATAACGACTTCTAAAGAAATACGTTCAACCAACAAACTCCACTGAGTTACAGGAATTAGCCTTTTCTTAACAATCACAGGTATTTTTAATTAGTGGTCACTTCATGATTGGTGGGATAAAGTTTGCTTTTAAAAATGAAGTTGGTCCAAAATGTTTTTCTGTATTATTTGAAAGGACTTTTTAAGTGTTGTTCTTAATTATCGTAATTTTAAACACAAGTTTTCAAGTTGAAACATCTTAAAAAAACAAGATTTGTCTTCATCAATTTTTCGGTTTGACATATTTTTGTTCATGTAGCCTTAAAGAAACGCATTCACTCAACAACAAAATTTACTTTTTGAAAATGTTGAACTGCAGTTGTGTATTTAAACACAGACCGTATTGTTTTGGGAAATGTCCTGTGTGTCGTATTTGTTGTACAGGTCTCTAACATACAATCTAAACTTGAATTTGTCTTTTATGTTTACTGGTGTGCAGAAGGGACTTGAAATCTTGAAATCATGGTGGAGAAAAACTGAAGTTATCAGTCAGTTTTTTTTTAAGTCAGTGCAACTTAAATTTAGCTTCAAATCAATCAGTGAATAAGAAATTTTATTATTTAATTTTTAAATTACACACAATATTAAGTTGATCCAATTACCAACATTTCTATGTCAGCACAACTTTCGCAAAAAAAGTTTCAGCTTTTGTGGGTCTTTCACTTTAAGAATGTTTTTTTTAAATTTTGTTTTATGTAGTGTTATCAATATGTCCAAGCCCAAACTAGACAATAACTTTCAGTTCTTCAGGCAAGACAAAGGCTTTTATTTTCATCAAATCATAGTATAATAATCCATCCATCCATTATCTATACACCGCTTAATCCTCACTAGAGTCGTGGGGGGCTGGAGTCTATCCCAGCTAACTCAGGGTGAAGGCAGGAGACACCCTGGACAGGTCACCAGTCTATCACAGAGCTACACTTAGAGACAGACAACCAAGCACACTCACATTCACACCTACGGACAATTTAGAATCACCAATTAACCTCAACATGTTTTTGAACCGTGTGGGAGGAAGCCGGAGAACCCAGAGAGAACCCACGCTGCACCGGGAGAACATGCAAACTCCACGCAGAAAGATTCCGGCGCCCCCACCGGGATGCGAACCGGAAACCTTCTTGCTGTGATTCAACAGTGCTCCTGTAATATATGATAAACAAAATAATAAAGACATGTAAAATAATAATGATTTTTAAAAAACTCAATTAAAATCAGAAGATGCTCTTTGACAAAACTTAAGGGACATCTGTGTTGTCACTGAAAAATGAATCAGTGTCTCTCAACCTCTTTTATCATCTACAATAACTTTTGTATATTAGTGAAGCAAAGTTCTACCTTCATACTATGAATACTTCCAGAGTTTCAGGCCCTTAAAGTACATAGAGGAGGGTCCACATTTATCACTTTTTAATGGACTTTATCCATTATTTCTGAGCCTCAGAACTTCCTACATTTGATACCAGAATCTTCCAGACAGGATTCCTTCATGATTCCTTTCATCTCTGAAAATTTCACGAAGCTGTCTTTTCTCATGTATTAGTTGTGAGCGCTCAATAATGCTCTGCAAAATAATGTGAATTTAAAAGCACAAAATTTCCGACCACCTCTCCGTACTTCAAGGGCCAGTAATTGTAACATACTCATAGTTTGAAGGTAAAACCTTGCATGGCTTCATTAAATTCACTAAACTTACTGTTGCTATAGTCTTACCTGATTGTGAGGAGGACTAATTGGAAACTTTTTTTCCAGTAGATTTGGTTGAATTTATACAGACTGACCTTTTTGCTTGTGAGTCTGACATGTGACAAGGTTTTCAAAAAGCCTGAAAAGCAAGAAAAATAACAATCAATTCTGAAACAGTCGGGTTGCCACAGACAGAGAGGTAAAACTAGACTAATGTGCTCAGTATCATGTTTCAAGTTTAAAGTCTAGCAACTAAAATACGTCTGAATAACAGAAATGTTGAATTGCTGTTAGAACTTCAGAGGTAGAAGAAAAAATAGAACCTGAGGGGAGCAAATAGTAAGAAATTATTCATCTGTGCAGTCAGTTAAGGCAGACTGATTCTTAAATAAAAAACAGAACCTTTGTTATGTTCAGTTTATTCCACATTGTAGTTTATCGTATTGTTATTGATATTTAATTCTCTGCAGTGAAGTCAAGTCTGAACCACCAGAGGGCGCTGTGACCAACTGTCCTGCACTGCTGAGGTTTTACTTCATGTTCTGACCCTGCAGCAGTTTGTTTATCCAGAGTCTTTGTTATTGACATATTTTACATATATTTGCTTTGATTTGAGAGAGAAAAAAATATGCATATTAAGGGAGCTGTTATTTTACAGAATTTCCCAGTGTTGTTAAATTACAGATAATATGTAGTAAAATTAAAGAAAAGGGTATTACTTGACATATTGACACACAAAAAACTTCAAAACTATAATATAATATAATGGCAAAAAATATATAATATAAATAATGTCCACATCAAAAATCTGTATTTTTATATTTAGTACTTTGTTCATACAATTATGCATTTTTACTGTATTTAAATTAGTTTAAAAAATATAATTTTACAGATGTTGCTGTTGTTTTTATAGTTTTTGAAAATATTCCAGCAATTTCTTACCATATTTTCCCTGGAACCGTTGCTACCAGGTTCTGGGTAAACTTTTCAGTCATATCAGCATGTGTGATGGTGGCGAGTTAGAATCAGTTAAAGATAATGAAAGGTCTCATTCTTACCTACATTTGATACCAGGATCAACTTCTAGACACAATTCACTCTGTAGCAAAACTATTTTTCTCGCTGGTGCAGGTTTGCAGTTGAAACTATGAAATATCTCACCACATGGATGCACAAAGTCGGCTAAAAGAAAAAAATCAGGCCAGAAACTAGATTTAGTCCTTGATTTTGACACCTGGATGGATGCAAAACTGATCTGGTTGCAGTTTTTTACCAGAACTCAAATGTGTTTTTCCTCCTAAAATGTCATGTGTCTATCTGCTGTACTGATGAAGTTCTGAGGCTCAGAAATGATGGAAAAAGTCCATTAAAAAGCGTGACATTTGGAACCACCTCTATGGACTTCAAGGCCCTGGAACTCTGAAAATATTCACAGTATGAAGGTAAAACATTTGCTTCACTAAATAAAGTTACTGTAGATAAAGAATCAGCTGATTGTGAGGAGATCAGGAGGGAGGAAAATTATAGATTTTTACTGGATTGACCCAACTTTTAAAATATTCCATTACCAGTGGACATCCTGCATTAAAAAATCTTGTTAAACTAAAGGTACAGAAGTGTTTTGGGAAAAATCAGCTCAAAGTATCAAAAGTGAAGTTTGTATGTGAGCCCTGTGATTGTTGTATTATCACATAAAGTATATTAGATTGTTTGATGCATCAGTTTGTCAGCAGCTGATCAGTGATTCTAGTTTTAATGGCATATTATTTACAGACAACAGTTCAGTGGAACAGTCAGGTAGACGCCTTCGTTATTTAACTGAAACCATCTGAGACGATCAGATATGTGATCGTTCCAAACACAAAAATATGAGTAAGACATGTTTAAGATTGTGCCTGAGTAAACAGTCCATACTGGTTTAGAGTCCAAGACTTCTGTCGCTGTGAAACAACCACAGTACACTTTGTCCTGGTTCTGCTTCTCCAACACACGTCTGGCTGATGATAAACAGTCCAGGCCTTCGACCGTTTGTGTTTTCCAGGAGACCCGGTCTGAATCTGAGCAAGTGCTTCCCTACAGGGAGCGTAACATCATTTCAGATTCCTTTTTAGTGATGCAATGAACATTCCCACATGTTGGTGTGAGGGACGTTCACAGGCTCTGCAAGCCAGAAGAAAAACTTCCTTCAGCCTGTTCTTCACTTTCTGACTGTGATCAGAGCAGCTGCAAACAACACAGCGTTTTAAAGGCCTGTGTTTTATTTCAGTTCTTTCTCTGGCATACATGAATAATACATTACTGCAGAGCTTTTCTTTCAGATATTTGTGTTCTTCAGTGAGTTTCCATTAATTCACTCTGAAATGACTTCAGTAAACAAAGCTGAGTGACCATCTTTGTGACCCGGAGAGGCCCGACATTCACTGTTGATTAGTTGGTGGTAATTTGATCAGATGTATATCTGTCTGTCACTAAACACACAAGTTCAGGCCCAAGTTTGAGACAGAAAATGTCTGCAGGCATTTGAACCATGAGACATAAAGTTGAAACCAGAAGTTTACATACACTGTATAAAAATACATAAAACCTTTTTTTTTCTCACTGTCTGACATTAAATCAGTCTAAACTGTTTTAGGTCAGCTAAGATTACCAAAATTATTTCTATTTACTAAACGCCAGAATAAGGAGAGAGAGATTTTTTTTTTTCACTACTCTCTTCAAAGTCAGAAGTTTACATACACAAAGACTACTATGCCTTCAAACTATTTGGGAAAGCCCAGATGATGATGTCATGACTTTTGAAGTTTTTGATAGGTTAATTGACAACATTGAGTTCATTGGAGGCACACCTGTGGATGTATTTGAAGGTGCACCTCAAACACACTGCTTCCTTTTGTGACAACATGGAAAATCTAAAGAAATCAGTCAAGATATCAGGAAGAGAATTGTGGACCTCCATAAGTCTGGTCCATCTTTGAGCACAGTTTCCAGATGCCTGAAGGTTTCACGTTCATCTGTTCAAACACTTATACTCACCATGGGAATGTCCAGCCATGTTCAGCCAGGAAACCCAAAACATTTGACCCAAGTCATACAGTTTAAAAGCAATACTAGCAAATACTAAGGAAATGTATGTAAACTTCTGACTTTGAAGAACGTAATTTAAAAAATCCTTCAAAAAAAATAAAAATAAAAATCTCTCTCATTTTTGTGGCGTTTCGCAAATAGAAATAATTTTGGTAATCCTCTCTGACCTAAAACAGAAAAGTTTAGTCTGATTTAATATCAAACAGTGAGAAAAAAAATGTTAGATGTCTTTTTATACAGTTTATGTAAACTTGTGGTTTCAACTGTATAATGTGTTTATTCTATAAGCATTAAATCACAACCACAATCTCTCCCTGACCTTCACCAAAAGCTGCTGCCTTTGTACACCCTGATTAGCCCAATTCCAGAGAAACACTGTCAGGGAACAACACAAACTGTCAGTATTAAAATGTAGTCTATCCCAGCTGACTCAGGGTGAAGGCAGGGGACACATCGCAGGTTCACACTTAGAGACAGACAACCAAGCACACTCACATTCACACCTACGGACAATTTAGAATCACCAATTAACCTCAACATGTTTTTGGACTGTGTGGGAGGAAGCCGGAGAACCCGGAGAGAACCCACACTGCACAGGGAGAACATGCAAACTCCACACAGAAAGATTCCGGTGCCCCCACCAGGACGTGAACCGGCAACCTTCTTGCTGCGAGGCAACAGTGCTACTAACTGCGCCACCCTGCAGCCCTACTGACTGGTAATGTTTCTGTTTAATCACATTACAAATAAATAACTGATGACACAACAACATCTGAGGCAAGTAGTCCTCAATAGTTTCTAGATATGACATTTGGATTTGTTTTGCCTGTTTGAGGGAGAAGTTCAATCTGCCAGACTGCATCTTTATGTGAATATTAATCATCGTAAATCCAAACAAACTACTCCATGAATAAATATCAGGTCTTCTCCTATTGCTCTCTATTCACCTGAGTTAACCTCAAGGTGACCAGTTTTCTGTTGAACTGCTTTGTGGCCATTTGAAAGGTGTATCTGTGATACAGGATATATCAAATACTTGATATATAACAGCTGCATGTCACAATAATACAAAACTAAGCATAAAGAAGACTTTTTAATATAAAATGCTTTAACACAAAAAAAGGAAAAAAAAGATTATTTTGTGGACCTTTCATAGCGGATTGAGCAGGTTTGACAAGTTGTACCACAAAAACAAAAGTATTATTAGATAATGGGATCAAAACTTTATTGATATTATAACATGCATACAGGACATATCATAGTGGGCAGGGCGTCACACTCTGGGACTCAGTGTGTAATCATTGCACCTAATCAAAAGTGATGACTAATGTGTAGAAATAGAACTAAAAAGAGGAATGTGTCTGAAAACTAAAATCATTCCAACTTTATGGGCGACAGTGTATATCTAAAATGTCACGAATATCTTTATAAATATCCATATTTAATGCTATAAACAATTCAGACAAATCATATATGACTGAGCAAAAACTTTTTTAAAATTTGGACCCATATATGTTCTCAGCACACGGCCATGAAAATGTTTCACAACATGGAAAAATCATGTACAGAACATTAATTATGCAATAATTAAAGGCAGCATAACACTAAGCAGACACTGGGACAAACACAGGCTGGCTTGCTGTCTTCTATAGTGTATCATTACCCTGAATTAACCTCATTTGTGTTCCTTTAAAAGCTGCTGCAACATGCGTGTTCTTAACCAAGATGATGTTTCTGGATGTAAAAAGCTCCGATCGTTAATGTTTCTCCAACAGAAATAGAAAAACACTTTAAGTCAGTGAATGTGGCAGTCGGAAAATATTTAATCTCACAGGGTTTTAGCTGTAATGTTGAAATTACTCAGGTGACATCAAATAATAATTAACACTTCAGGGTCTTAACCTCAACAGTGAAACTTTTCAGGTAAATTTGCCAGTTTCATTTCTGTTCTGGAAAACCCTTTGGTTGTTCTGCTGTCATTTCAAATGCCCTTTATAAAAATAAAAAAAAAACACAGAGACTTGACTTGCAAGTTAATAATGCTGTAAAGAAAACTGCCAGTGGAAAACAAAATAGAAAAATAATTAAAAATGCTGCAGGGTCTGTCAGGTAAAGCTGTACTTTCTAGAATTTTGTAAGCTTTTCATCCTTAATATTTGAATTAGTCTGGTAAATTCACATCATACAGGGTCTTAACTTCAACATTAAAACTTGTTAGGTACATTTATTTTTTCCTCTCCTGGAAAACGCTCTGGCTCCACGGCTGTTGTTTTTAATGTGCTGCATAAAAAAATAGTGACAAAGTCAACTGTGCTATCAGTGGCTATTAAAATAGAATAAAAAAAAATGCACAGAATGGCTTAAAAACAGCTGATAATAAAGTCCAGTCACTGTTATTCACGTGTCACATGTAAAACAACAGCTGTTGAACGTACTTTCCAGTCAAAAGAAATAGAAAACAATTGGCATTTAAATATTGGAGTTAAGACCCTACAGTGTTATTTATGGTGTGAATTTACATATTAAGGATTTAAACCCTACAAAAACTATAGAAAATATTACTTAACATGACTTTAATACATGTATAGATTAAAGCTGAGACTCTAACGAAAGATGTCACCCTAAAAAAATACATATAAAAACCTAGCAAATTAAAAAAATTCCTAGAGATTCCCTGTGAAGCTTTTTGTTTATTTATATTTTTATATGTACTGTTTTTATTTGTTTTATTTTATATTAATGCATTCTTCTTTGAAAACCCACAGATAAGTTATACTGAACTGAAAATATAAAGGCAGCTTGTAATATTCTATTAAATTCTATCCATCCTGTCGACTGTCCCGCTGTTCCTGAAGGACTCGGCGAGGCTGACAGACATTTTAGTCGACTGGATCATGTTGACAGACATTCAGAGCTGTCTGAGACGATTTCTTTGGACGTCAAATGGTAACTGATCTGCAACATCCACCCGCCTCTTCTCATCTTTCTGTTGTTGTCTGTGTCATCTGAATAAAGATGCATTTTAAATGGAAAATCATTCAAACTTATTTTAACCACCGTACGTTGGGTGAAGTCACCGATACACATCCTTATGGCTCAGTCTGTGGACTTTTCAGTAAATATTACAATTTAATACAACCTATGTGAAAACTGCTGCTCAGTACAGGTGAGTATCAGACAAAGACCCACCATTTCCTGTTTGAGGTTCCTTAAACTTAGTCAGCATTAATATTTAATATTTAAAATAATAGTTCTGACTCAATATACTGTATCCGGCTGATTGTCAATATTAAATTTAAAGCTTTATACACCTGACCAGGCTGTGGATCAACTCACTGGTTGAGAATAAGTCACCAGTCAAACAGTTCAAAAACTTTTTGTGCACAACTGGCTAAATTTAACCCCTTCTAAACATAACAGAAATTATATATTTTTTAAATGTTTTCTCTAAATCAGTGAAGAAGAATATCTGCATGTTGTCTTTATACGTGTGTTCAGTGTGTTTCCTGTGTGTTTCAGCTCATCACCTCCTTCCTGCTGCTGTACATTCACTGCTCAGCCTGTATTTACTTCACATTCCCATAGGAAGTGAGTGGAGCTGCTCTCAGCCAATCAGATTTGCGGATAACGCTCCGACAACAAACAAAAGATCGAGGCTAGCCGAGCTTATTATACTTTGTCGATCCGTCTAGCCTAACGTTCGTACTTACTTTGCTCCCAGCGCCGACCTGCTCCTCTGCCTTTTCACCACTTTCCTCTGATCCTGCGCGGCAGATCGTCTTCTTCTGGCGTCTCTATTTGTGGCTTTGTGTCACCTAATGTCAACCTGAGCCATTTCAGCGATCGCTTTGCCTTTGCTGGCCGAGCTAAGCGCGTTAGCCAGGTTAGCTTCTCGGCTAACCAGCACTGGCTGCCTCTCTGCGAACAGCGAAGCCAGTTAGCTTAGCCTGCTATCTAGCTAGCTTTGCGAAACCCCCTTTAAAACTTGACACTGACGGACACAAGTGGCTCTGGCTTGTTGCTGACAAGCCATTTTACTAAAACTCGTGTCGTAGCCATGTCTGGACAGTCGTCGGGCTGCGGGTTTTTGATGTCGGTTGTTGTCCACGGAGACTCGGCTCTGAACGAGCAGGAAAAGGAGCTCAACCAGCGACTCCGACGGCTCTATCCAGCCGTAAATGAAAACGAGACTCCGCTCCCTCGATCCTGGAGCCCGAAGGACAAGTTCAGCTACATCGGGCTCTCTCAGAACAACCTCCGTGTGCACTATAAAGGTATGACACAAAGACACACTCGAGTTTAGCACTTTATTGCCCAATGCTAACGCTAGCTTAGCCTGACGGTTAGCGGATCAAAGCCAGCTGCCGTTGTGGCTAAAAACAAAGTAGGCTAGGCTAGTAGCTTCATCAACAACAAGACAGAGGACATCTTGCAACCCGACCAGCTGGCGAGCTGTATCCACAGCCAAAATTGACCTACTAGCTCGTTAGCTACTGTGCTACCCTGTTAACCAGCTTGTCAGCTTCATTAACTGTCACCACGAAGCTTCTACGGCGGACAGTTTGTCAAGCTATCGATTGAAATATAACACAATCGCATGTAATGGAAAAATCCTCCTCTAATAAAGTGCATCTGAGGGTGTTTATGCTCGACTTGAGTCAAAAATATATCGTTAGCCAAAATGGACTAAGGCTAGACAAGCCTGTAGTAGGCTAATGTAGCATTATTAGGTAATTAAATGCCAGGAAATACACAGTGTCAAATATCATGATTGGCCTAAGTTACTCAGAGGAATTATCAGGCTTCCAGTGAAGAAGCTATTCATGATAGGTTAGGCAGAGGCAGTTCTTCTCTGCTGAGGCTTTAATATCAAGTGTCTTGTCTGACATTCAGGTTGGACTAGTTGCTTAGCAAAGCTACCAAGAGGGTTTTTGGTGCAGGCCTACAAGAAGAGGCTAGTATAGAAAAAAAGGTGTAACTGTGCTTCCTGGGTGTGTTCTACTATTCTGGGTCTGGCTGGCCCTCTACATTCACTCTTCCTTGTTGCAACTAGAATGTTCTGTCTTTGCACCACAAATGCACTTTAGCATTCAAACATCAGAAAACTTTCACATGAAGCACCTCCTGGGAGCAAAAACAAATGATCACTTCAAGAAGTCACCCTGTCTGAACACTGTTATTCCACAGTGTTAGACTGAACAATTCAGGCCATCTATGATTAACTAGGTTTTTTTTAATGTCAATGTTATATCAATTATGGATCCTATGTTATCTAAAACCCACCATAGCTATTAATCACTAAATGCTGTGTTGTGTGAAACCCACTTAACAGGATCTGTCACTTATTCATTTTACTCAAATTAAATGTCACTTGTGTCCCAGCACCAAATGCTGACAGATAATTGATAAAATACTCATAAGGACCAGAACTGGAGTGATTTGCCCTTTAATTAGCACATATTTTAGCAATCAGTTAAAAAGTTCTGTACATTTTAAGGAAAAAATGACAGAAATGAACTAGTTCCAGGTACTTAAATGCAAGTATTAGTTAATTTCCTGAGTCATTAATAACAAGAAGCTGAGTAATGTTGGGTTTCAGAGTGTTGGCCAGACTAAACAAGATATTTTAATATATTAAGTTGTGCTTTGGGGCATTTCATCAACCAAACAATAAATCTATTAATTTAGCAAATCACAAGCAGATGAATACACAGTTGTTGTAAATGTAATTAGGGCTCCAAGAACTACATCAGTGCTCCATTTTGAGACTTTTGTTGAAAAAATAGCATAACTGTTTATATTCAGGTAAACATGGTGATGTCATTCACATTTCCACACAACACATCCAAAGATTGTGTAACATCTGAAAACTACTAAGTCTGGACGGAATATATGGTAGAAAATAGGATTATTGTTACAATTACACAAGATGTGCCGGTAGCGTCTGAGAATCCCACATGACTAAAAAATAAAGTGTACTGAGAACAATAATGGTAATCATCGTGACTACAGCGATCTGAATCTTGAATAGACTGAGACGATCAGTCCAATAATCCGTTAACTGACTCATCAGTAATCATCAGCTATTTTAGTTTCTGATTATAAATTATTTAATTAAAAAATAAATAAACACTACCTTAACTGACTTTAAAAATAATCTTGCAACCTTTGTTTTGACTGTTCGTGACCTTAAAGTTTTTGTGTTTTCCTGACTTTAACGCTGTATCCATCTAGCAACCATTTTGTCACAAGCAGAAATGTAAAATGGAGGTGAGAAGTTTAAGTTGTGTCCCATCTACTGAAGTTCATTCTCCACATTTGAACAGATTCTGGATATTCTTAGATCAATTTCATCCACATGACTGATTGAACCTGCTCGTGTCGGCTAACCGGCCCTAATTTTATCATCCTGTGGAATAAGAAATGCTTCCTCACAGGACTCAACAATATGATTTCATTTCCTGACCAATATTGCAGTTGAGATTAAATTGTGCAAATTTGTTATAGATTTTACATAAACAGTGCTGTTGTTTGAGGTCCTCCCAGAGTGCTTTTTCCCCCAAAAATAAATAAATAAAAATCTTACATTTCATGCAATAGTCTATTAGTGGCACATTGGACATTACTCAGTATTTCCAAGTGCATTTAGAAGTTTATTAACAACAACACCCTAGTTTTCCACCTATTGTAATGACTCTAAGCATTACTCAGCATAAACATCATATATGGCCCCTAATGATGATGCTGCTGACAGCTCTGCACTGTAGCTGCTTGAGCTAATGTTAGCTTTGAAGACTGACAGGAAGAGCTGCTTCACAGTGCCGAACACAGGAGGTCCAGATTCAGAGCATTTAAGGTGATAATCTCGTCACCACTGACTCATCTTCAAAGGGTATTTATAAAAATTTAATCTAGTTAATCAGTATTATCTTTGGGTGTCACTAAGCCAGTTTCCTCTTCTCACAAGCCTGTGGAAAATGTGTCACACAATGAACAAAAAAAAAATCTGTGTGTAACATAAATTATGCAGTTAATAAAGGAAAATAATACTTAATCAATATCGGGACAAGCACAATTTGCCTTTAGGCTGTTTTTTTTTTTTTTTTATAGGTTTAAACTTAGTGTGTAAAAAGTTTCTGGTTTATGGTATAGTGTGTGCAAAAGCCCCACCTCTCTTCTGATTCTATCTGACAGTAACTTTGGCATTATTTGTTCAGTGTAATATTCTCAGATCACCTGCAGGTACGGTTCCTCTGGCTTTGAACCTTTTGACATTGAAATCTGCTGCAAAGTTATGCTCTCTGCCTCTTAAAATGGCTTTGTCATGGTCAGTTTTTGGAGTTTAATTCTCTCCATAGCAACTAATACTTAAAAGATCCACTTACAATCCTTAAAAGTGAAAATCATGAGCATAAGTAGCTGCAGAGAAGCATCTCTCCCTGTCTTCACAGTCAGCATTGTTCTTACGTTTATGATAATTGAATGACTCATGATCATTTGTAATAAACTCCACCTGTCTGTGTGCTACCCCAAACTGAAGGTCATGGAAAAACCCCCAAAGATGCAGCGTCTGTACGGGCCACCCACCCCATCCCAGCCGCCTGCGGGGTCTACTACTTCGAGGTGAAGATCATCAGTAAAGGCCGAGATGGGTAAGACAACGGACCAACACATTTCTGAAGAGCACAACATTTGCTGACTTTTAGCGGTGTTAGTAGCTTGACTATAAAGATTGTCAGAGTCTTTAGTCTAAAATCCAAAAACTCAGCAGTTTTTAAACTGTTTGGAAGTATCCTAATAAGTTTGCAGGCTGCTGTCTTCATCATCAAAATTTCCCTCAAGAACTTCAGGCACTTCATTTCATGGCAGCATCCCTTTAAAACTGAATTTCTGTTAACATGCTACATGTTGGCATCCTCATAATACTTTTTTTTGTTGTTGTACTAAATGGTTTGCAACAGTGCGTACTGTTTAGATTTGCTTTAGGATTTAACATTTTGGGAGAACATGAACGTATTACATGGGAAATGTTAGCATATAAACATGCTATGTATGCACACCAGAACTCCTACCTCCTGACATGAAAACACTGCAGATCTAATGAATATATTGGCCTGTTGACAAGCACATGTAAGCATGTTAGCATGCTCATTTTAGCCGTTAGCTAACAGCACACCAGCACTAATGAACCCTGTCGGCCCTGTGAGGCTTCTCATACACTAAAACATGAAACTGGATGAATTCAAAAATGGAGGGACAATTAATTTTACATTTTCTTTTCTGGTGTATGATAAACTTAATCCTCTTTTAGCACAGTTATTGACTTTAAATCTTGTTAATCGTGTAAATGGCCTCCAAACTCAATTATCATAACTAATAAGCTGCTCGTGTTGGACAATATACGATTTTTCACAACATAGAGAGTTTATGAAAGTATAAAGTCCACACAGATTGCTGGTTTAATCTGGATTTCACCCTGCAGCAGTTTGACTGTTATTGTAGTGGCTTTTTATTTTAGATGTAAACTCGCATCAGGATTTTACACACAACAATTTCCCATGATGTCTGTATTATGAATTTGGTTCATTCATTGGAGTAAGAGGTTAGATATGAATAGGGGTTGACTAATGCTGATTATTAGTAATCAAGGAGATCGATGACTGATATTTGGATCAGATACTCTTTTGCAGTTAAAATGAAAATCTTGTTGTTAAAATTTAAAATGATCCAACTTCTAGCCACAAACTTCATTGAAATACTTTTGTTTATTTATGTTTCACATGTTTGATTAAAAGAGAAATTTTGTTTGAGACCACAGAGTGATGACTACAGATAGAAAGAGGAAGCATCAGAGATAGTAGTGCATTTTGAATCATTTATCATCGGTTTTAAAAACTGATACCAATAATAAGAAAACACTGAAGAGTAGATCCATACCCAGGTGGATAATCTGTTGACCCCCAGCGCTAAAGCAGTTTAGTTTGTCTTCAGTAGGATGCCATGGTGTTTTTGTTCAAAACATAGTGAAAGCTCACAGCATATTTTAGTCTCATTGAGATTCCTATAAGGTGTGGACATTCGACCATGTTAAATGCAGGAAGGTTTTGGTTGTGTTTAGTCACTTGAGGTGAATCAGCATGAATACTGATATAGGTCATGCTTTTTTAACTCTGTAGGACTCCAGACTGTAAACCATTCTGAATATTTTTTCATGCCTCATGTTTTGAGTCATAAGCCAAGTTTAGTAGCAGATAGCAAATGTGGTTTGTTTGTTTGTTTGTTTTTAGAGATTCATATCAGGAAACCACAAAAGGCTTTAAAGTCTAATGAAATGCAAGCATGATTAAAATCTTCTCACTACTGGAGGTCAATTTGTAATCCTAAAATAAGACTTCAGTCATCTACAGGAGTTCATTCTGCTGCTTAACAGCCACAAATCACATGATTTCGATGGTTGTTTTCAATTAATTAACCTTCTTTCACTCAAGGTGAATCAATTCTTTGATAGTCAGAGTCCCAAAGTGTCCATATTTCTGTATGTTTAGAATACATGAAGCTGAAAGCTGTAAGAATTAACGGTGCAGTTACATGTTTCTTTAGACCTTATTATCCGTCCAACACTCTTGTGTCTCTGATAGAATCATGGCCAAGCATTATTTTAGTTAGTGATCAATTTTCTCAACTAATTGTTTTGTCAATGAATACAACAGTTCAAATGATGGTATTGAATGTGTTGGTTTGTCCAGAACCACTAAATACTCAACACGAGACAACAAAAAGCAGTCAATCATGACATTTGATAAACCGAAACCCTTAAATGACCTCAAGGACCTACTCTAATTGTTGCAGCTTAAATCTCGACAGCTATTGGATGGATGTTTTTCTTGACGTTTTGCACCAACATTCATGATCCCCAGAGGATGAATCCTCATCACTTCGGTCATCACCTGAGTCAGTCTGTGTCATTTCAGATGCTTGTGTTTTTCTACTGTCTCAGATTTTGCTCAGAGTTCACTTATTTGATAAGAGACCTCCAAACTAAGTTCTGTAAAATATTTTGGCAGAATTTTAGGAATTTAATTTATGTTCAGACTGAATTTTATTTATTTATTTTTTTATAGTTTCAGTCTTTTAAACAACCCTTAATTGTGAAGCCATTTTAAAGGTTCAATATCTCCAGACATAAAACTCCCACAGCCATGAAGTTTGGTGAGGACACAGACAGAACAGTTTCCTGCAGATTCAAATAATTGAATAGTTCTGCAGAGGACACAATTAGTGGTCCTTGAAAATAGAAATAAGTGCAACAGTTTCAAATGAGGGTGGTATTGTGTTCCTACTCTAACATCAGTAGATGTGTGGCAAAACAAGGTTCTTTTTTTTTCACATTTTGACATAAAATTTGCAAAATTCACATCAAAATACTATTGCAGATCTTGGTTTTGGTTCCTAAATGACAAATGGTTCTAACATCTGAGGTGGTGGAGCAACATATTTTCTGAAGTCTGTCTGAATCGACACAGAAATGATCTGGCTGAATTTTAATTTACGGCCTTTTGCCAATCAAAATTTGTGATAGCAGTATTACAGATAGACAACATAACACAATTAGTCAGTGTTATAAAAACAAATAATAAAGTTGTTGAACTTGTTCAAAGAGCTTAGTTATCTGATTAAGAAACGGAACGGCAGCTCAGGAAACGTGTCTTTCAAGCACCTTTTCGGAGAGTTATCTTTTGGAGAAATCTCTGGCCCACATGCGTGTTCATACGTTCGGGGCACAAAACAGGGAGAACATGCTGCTCACACTGAGGCAAGCGATGGTTCGTACAATGTCTGGGATGATGTATGAGGCTCAAGTACTTTCAGGTGAATTCCACAACATGTCCAGCCTGCTTTCCTGAAGAAAACACAGGTCACTTTACATCACTCTGTAGATGCACCATATTGCTGCTTCAGACATGAGCAAAGCTCAGCGCTACACAGGATGCTGACTTTAGAATGGTAAATACTACACGATAGCATACATGCTAGCTTTTAGTATCATCAGTTATGATGCTGTTAGAATATGAAAGCTATTGAGAGGTTTAGGAACAGAAACACTTGATTGGTAGCTGCTGGGGTGATTGTCACATTACAAACTTTGATTCTCAGTTTGAGTTTTTTAATCTGATTCCATCTATTTCTTGATGGATCAAGTAGTAGCTCCTCCACATGTCCAACAAATGTGTAACTTCCTCTTCTCTCCATCAACCCCCTTCACTGTTGTTGTTCTTGGTATTTATTTCTACTGGACTGTGAGGCAAAAACAAAAGTCCGATTTGGGCCACTTCAGTATGTACTGCAAATGCAGATTTACTCTTCTGTCTTTCTTTATAAATGTGTCTCCTCTGTCTGTCCCACAGGTACATGGGCATCGGCCTCTCAGCTCAGGGTGTAAACATGAACAGACTCCCTGGTAAGTTGGCACATTGTGTCATTTTATTCTTCTCAGTGTTTGTTTCTGCTGTTGTTGTGCGTCTGTTGGCGTGTGTGTCTACTGTATATTATACAATAAATCTTTTGCATGTTTGTGGCTTGCATTTTTCCTGTGATTTGCCTTGGATGTACTCGATGTAGGTGCGACTGAGTTGCTTCAATGTTTAGTCTATTTATTGTCTGATTAAATGTGCATGTTTGGGTTGGAGGTGCTGAAATACAGGGTGTCTACAAATGCGACAATCCCTGAGGGGACATGAAAATAAATGTACAAGTTTCATTCCATTCAGTGAAGGTGCTCCCACTCCTGCTGTGTCCTGACAAGTCCACAGATTCAAGAATTTAGATTCATCCATCCATCCATCATCTATATACCGCTTAATCCTAACTAGGGTCTCAGGGGGCTGGAGTCTATCCCAGCTGAATCAGGGTGAAGACAGGGGACACCCTGGACAGGTCACCAGTCTATCACAGGGCTACACTTAGAGACAGACAACCAAGCACACTCACATTCACACCTACGGACAATTTAGAATCACCAATTAACCTCAACATGTTTTTGGACTGCGGGAGGAAGCTGGAGAACCCGGAGAGAACCCACGCTGCGCTGGGAGAACATGCAAACTCCATGCAGAAAGATCCCAGGCGTTCTAATCGGACACGAATTGGGGATCTTCTAGCTGTGAGGTGACAGTGCAAACCACCGAGCCACTATGCAGCTGAAGAATTTAGATGTGTATCGCACATTTCTGTAAATAATTACATTTCCCGATTCACTGAATAAAGTATGGAGACTCTTTAGAAAATACAGATACTTGTAGAATTGAGATGGCATGATAATTTAAATACTTGGAAGACTGAAGTTTGTTGTATTTTACTAAGAAACAACTGCAGCGAGTAGTTCTTGCTGCTGTCAATATGTGTACTGGACTGTGATGTCCTAGCAAACTCAAATGTAGAATACTTTGTGACCAAAAAGCTCAGACATACCACTCCACATATTTTATCTCTGAAATTTAATAAAAATGTGAGGAAATGTGTCCTAAATATAATTTGTTTTAATATAATGTAACACAGTATTTGCGAACTGTATGAGTGTATTGTAGGTTTAGATGTGTGCCTTTAAAAATTCACATTTCTTTCCTTTTTAAAGGTTTGAGTATCTATATATATTATTACAAATATGCACAAATATCACAATGCCGACCTTTTCAACGTGATTACAGGACCGTCATTCAAGTCTTTCAGCCGTGGAAAACTTTAAATAAAATTGTTATACACACTGCTGCATTTAAATATGAATGTTAGCATAAAGTGAAGTATCATTAGTCATGTAAACAGCTTGGTAAGAGGATTGTCCTTCTTGTAATAAGGGCAAACTCCTGAATGGTTCGTGCATCTAAGTGTGGTCAACAATCACTTCCTATGGTGAGGATACAGATTTTAAAGTTCTCGTATTGTGCCCCTTCCCCAAATCATTGCTTTTCTGAATGAGCTGCAATTCAGTTGATATTTCATCCTCATTCTGCTGTCTGACAACAGAGGAATATGATGTCAGTGCATGTGTGAGTTCAGAGTGGTGATGGCTTTTGGGAAGAAACTGTTCTTGAGTCTGTTTGTTTTGGTTCTGATGCACCTGTAGCGCCTCCCTGAGGGCAGCAGGTCAAACATGGCAGAACCAGGGTGGGAGTTGTCCTTGATGATGTTTTTTGAGACAGATGAGGACGCCAAGGAACCGGAAGGTGTGGACCCTCTCCACACACTCGCCGTTGATGTAGAGGGGGGCTAGATCAGTGCTGAGCCTCCTGAAGTTGACAATGATCTCCTTGGTTTTCTTGGTGTTCAGAGCCAGGTTGTTTTCTGAACACCAGGCTGTCAACTTCAGGACCTCCTCTCTGTAGGCTGTCTCGTCTCCCCCTGTGTCGTCAGCGAATTTCACGATGAGATTGTTGCTGTGGGCCGGACGGCAGTCATAGGTTAAGTTAAATATTCCACCATCTCTGAATGTAACTCAGTGTTACAGTTTCCACTGAGCTCTGACCTGTGGACAGGCCATCAAAGCTAATGTTAGCCACATTACCCTTACAAGGTACTAACACTAAGGATTCTTCAATTGTTGTGGAGACCATTTCTAATAACCTTAATCCGCTGGGTGTTCAGTTTCTCAGATGCTGGGAGTGGACGAGGACTCCTGTGTTCACTCTTACAGCAGAACATTTTGTGAGTTTTGTTTGTGGTTCAGACAGTTTAGAGTTGAACAGCAGCAGCTGCAGAAAGTAAATACATCTGATGGACTGTGAGGCAGCTGCTCATTCTGATTGGTTCACTTGGAAGCAGTGAGTGGGCGGAGCTATGCAAAGGTTTACCTGGATGACTACTGGTTTGTGGTGATAAGTAGCACTTTGGTCAAACTGGCTTCTTAAGCTGGGATTATGTTTACTTGTGTAGGAGTGACAGAAGTGAACGTCTTCATTTTATTTTGCACCTCCAAGTTTATAACAGCCACAAGCACAATAACATAGATTTTCACTGTGTTGGATCGTTGTTTTAGAGAAACGGTGCTTTAAAAACCCTCTCTTATACAAAGAAGCACATTAAATCAAGAAAGGCATTGTTGCAGAGTGCGTATCCACAGCTTGGTAGTATGAGCACATTTCTGCAGCTGCTGTTCTTTGCCATAGCGTGGTACCGCTGCCGTCCGCTGAGGTTATCAGGCCAAACAGGAGGCCCGGCACCCGGCCACCAGTCTGAGAACTGGACCCACCCAGGAGCTCCAATCTCCTCTTATAAAGATAACAGGAGGCCCAGAGCAAACCGCAGAGTCGCAGCTGATGGATAGAAGCTAATGAGAATTCACTAATTGTAAAGAAGTGATGCCAGACTGCTGCAGAGTTGAGTGCTGTCTTCCAGTGATGAATGTTGCAATGGCAGGATTAATTCTGCAGCTCAGCAGTAACTCACAGGATCCTGCCACTTGGTTTCTAACATTAAAACAGCCCTGAGGCCATTCGTGCTGCAGTACAGGCTGAGTCCCTCCTCTTCTGCCTGAGAAACAAAGACTGGACAAATAATCCCAACACACACATGTCAAAGTTCTGTTTAATATTTGATGTAGATGGTATGTTGGAGCTTTTAATACCCTCATATGAAAGGCAAAACAAATGCAGAACCCTCATTTCAAATCATACAGTTAAAAGTATTTCACTTTTTTCTATTTATTGCTCACCATAACTAATATTTACTCAGGTTGCATAAAGACTATTGAAACAAAAAAGGCCTGCAGTCTGTAGATGCTTGAATTTACATCCGAAGAAAGCTCAGAATGCTAAAAGCATCTCCCGATTCTGGGAGAATATCCAGGTTTCTGGAAAAACCGACTGAGCTGTGTCCTTCTGCTGTCACACTGAAAACGACAACAAGCTGTTGTGGTGATTGAAATGTCTTTTTTGCCAAGTTCAGTTCCCATAAGACTGACTGGACATGTCCTTGAGCAAGGCATTGAACCACTGCAGGTTTTGGTTTGCCGACTCTCAGTGAGATGGTTTCGCTGTATGCAGGTTAGAATCACATGGGGATGTTTCAGCTTCACATTCTTGTTGCAGGTCACAATGTGAGTAGTGACGCATTGTTTCCATTTTTGTACTGGATATGTTTTCCAACTCTTCAGGACTAAAGCATCAATTTTTGACTTGGGATGTGCTTGCAGTTGGTCCCATTTTCTCAAAGGGTTAAAACAAGAATTGTGGTGTCAGCTTGTGTTCACAGGCTGCATCCCTTCAACGCTTCCATTCATTGTCTATGTAAACAGCAGTGTAGTGCATTCTGGTGGCACTGTGATGTGCTTCTAGAGACGTAGCTTCACTTTCACTTTTCCTCATTTGCATTAAGTTGAATTCTAGGCTACTTCATGCATATCAGGGGCGTCTGCCTGCCACTAGACACCTTTGGAAACTCCTGAAAAACAAGTGACGTGACCCCTCGTGTCAAAAACGTAACCTTAAGGTTGCAATGAAATTCATACGCAATAGACATCTTTCAGATTTTAGTGGACATTTTCTCTGTAAAATAGTGCAGATTAGTTGAGGCTTAGTCTGACTCACCGGATGTAGGATGTGGGTATAAACCTGCCATTGGCTGCTCAGATCAGATCAGCCGGCCTCCTCCTCTCCTTCTGCTATCTGTATGTTATGGTTTTCAAATCCACCTCACTACAGGAAATAATAACAACTTCCAGGCAGCAACCTACCACACTGAATATTCAAAGTTTTGCCAAGAGTTTGGATCATTGCAGTAAAGCAGCGCAGCTATTTTTTTTTATTGTTTGTGGATTATCCATTTTAATGACAGTTCTCACCTCCCTGCACATAAATGTGCCACCAAAATAATGCCACCATCGCTATTTTGAGTGTGCACTGAAACCACAACCTTCATTTAGCCCCGCCCAAGATGACCGTGATCTATTTAAAGAAATACAAACAGGCCAGGACAATTTCTTTTCGTCTGTAGCAGAATGGTATTTGTTCTAGTTCATTAGATTGGTCTGGTTAAGTGAGACTATTTGAGGCTCTAACCAGCTTAGCTTTTTTAACTCTTGTTTGTTCAAAATTCTGTGATTTATTTATTTTAAGTCTTTTGTCGGGCTGCACAGTGGCTCGGTGATTAGCACCCTCGCAGCTAGAAGATCCCCGGTTCTCGTCCCGGTTAAGTCGCCTGGGATCTTTCTGCGTGGAGTTTGTATGTTCTCCCTGTGCAGTGTGGGTTCTCTCCAGGTTCTCTGGCTTCCTCCCACAAGGTCCAGAAACGTGCTGAGGTTAATTGGTGGTTCTAAATTGTCCGTAGGTGTGAATGTGAGTGTGCTTGGTTGTCTGTCTCTAAGTGTAGCCCTGTGATAGACTGGCGACCTGTCCACGGTGTCCCCTGCCTCCAGCCCCCCACGACCCTAGTGAGGATTAATCAGTGTACAGATGATGGATGGATGGATATAAGTTTTGAAAACACTCAATTTTTTTTTTCTTCTGTTACAAAAAACTCCAGTATTTTTCCTATTTACTCATTTTTACAAGGATCAAATTGTGTCCTTGTTTCTGTCTTGAAATTTGGAAGCGTTATTGTTGCTGAAGTAGTTTAAGATGTGACCGTGTGCTGTGTCTTTTGCATTCACGTCCTTCAGGTTGGGACAAGCACTCATATGGTTACCACGGAGACGACGGCCACTCTTTCTGCTCGTCCGGCACTGGGCAACCCTACGGACCTACGTTTACAACGGGTGACGTGATTGGCTGCTGCGTTAACCTCATCAACAACACCTGCTTCTACACAAAGAACGGCCACAGCCTAGGTAAGGAGCTCTGAAACCAAAGCTAGCACCTTACACTGCTCATATGGTTTGTGTTTAGCCTGTGGAATAGTAATGTTTTTTTTCATACAGTTTTACATATAAATTTTACAAAAGCGAATACAGTAAATAAAGCCATTCCAACAAGTCTAGCTGCAAATGAGAGATTGCAGTTTATTGTCTTTATATCTCTCTGTGTTTCTTCTCTGAAGAAGTGCTTTATGTAAGACTTTAATGTTTTGTGCAAATCTTGTCTTTGAAATAAAGTTTAGCTTTTGAATTTTAACTAGAATTATGTAGTGTGCTTTTATATCTCCAACAGACAGAACCTAAACAGTGAAAACATATTTTATGTTTGGATTGTGTCCTAGTGATTCATTTGTTTGTCAACAGCCTAAACTCCAAGCAGCAGTCTCTGACTGTTTTTTATTTTGATCCTGTCACATTTTTCCTCTCTGTGGCCCATTTTCACTGCACTATAAAGTGCTGCACCTCCATGGAACAGAACAACCATGGCGAGAAGGAGAGAGAAATGCCATTAATCCTCATAAAGAAAAAAATGAAAGTAGAATTTCTTTGATTATTTCATTTACAGAAATGTTTTAAAAATCTGAAATCAACATGTGCCACATTTTCCATGCACCCACAGGTGTTACCGATACTAAACATGTTGTAGATATGTTACTATTTACATTCGTAATTACCGTAGTTTCTCACACTTGCAGTTCACCTGAAAACTACCTGAATTTTTGTCATGTGACTGTTGGTCACTGCTGAGTCATTCATTCAAGTTAATATCTGTTTTATTTATTCCACATGGTCATACTTGACTTATAAGCGTTAAAATGGCTTGTAATAGGTTACTGCAGAAAGATGACAGTAATCAGATTACCTCTGCACGTGTAAACACGTGGACTGTGTCCTCCTGCTGTGTTCAGAAATATAAAAGGACTCTTCATGCTGACACTCTCCTCTCTTACTCTGCAGGTATTGCCTTCACAGACCTACCAGTAAGTACCCACGTTTTGTTCACTCCCGTGTTCTAATCTTTATAGTTTCCATAATTAATCAGGACTGCAGGACTATTTATAGAGATGAAATGTTTCATTTCCTTCAGAACATCCAACTCCAGTCAAAATGTTGATGCTGTGCAAAATAGTCAGAGAGCATCAGTTGTTGATGATTGGGCAGCTGGAGATTCTTTAGATGGAAAAAGTGGGACACTTGTGGAGGGTTGGATAGATTTCACATGTCTGACACCTGAAATAAGACCTTGACAAGATAATTTGGTAGTATTATAATAATAGATTACATAATTAGTAGATCTTGAACCTGTTGGATTTTTGGGGATGGTGACATTTTTACAAAGTAAAAAAAATTATATTTACTAAATTATCTTTTTGAGATGGAACCAACCTAGTTGCATTTGAATTGTTTCATATTCTATTCAAAATAGCTTAACATTCACTAATGATTACATTTAGGTCTATTAAGAGTAGCACAGGAAGTCCATGGAAAAACGTTTTCTGTCTTCTCAACTAAACCACGTTGTCTGTACGCTGTCGAGCTGGTGATAGAATTCATGGCCACACTCCAATCATAGACGTCTCTTTTCTTGCTTATCAAAATGTCATTTTAAGTACAATAATATTAACGTGTAAAGGTCAAACAGTATCTCATGGTTCACTGCTGTCAAGTAAAGACACAAACAGCGGTCTGATGTACACTCTCAGTGGAAACTTTCTACATATCTGGCGGAAAACCAGACTTTTAAACTTTAGCTTTTGTCAATGCAGCAACTGGGCTAGTTTAGTTTGGAGGGTGAATCAAAGTGCGAGTCCGGAAAAGTTTATACATGTAGCTTTAGCACTGTTACTTAGACTCCTAAAAATGTTATAATGTATAGGGGGAATGGGCTTAAAAGCTAACAGCTAGCAGCTGGCTAGCGTCTACTCAACAAGCTGTGAAAGTAGCTATGTGGTTTGCTAACTAGCTAATGTAGCTAACAAGTATAAACATGATTATGAGTGATGTGATCCCAAGCTTCTTTCTCTGCGTTTTTGCTCTTTTGAAATAAGCTTTTATATTAAAAATCTGGACCGTTGGGGGATTTTTGGACTTTTTATAGAAACTCTCTTCAGAACCTTCACTGGAGGCAAAATGTTTAGAGGCTGGAAAACCCGATAGCTTCAGATGTTGATGATTGTACAAGGGGACATGTGTGGAAGGGTGGACAGATTTCACACCTCTGACTCTGACACCTGAATTAAGACACTGACAAGAGTATTAAGAAGTATTATGATGAGTTGAATCACATAATTCAATGTATTATTAGGACAGACAGGGTTACACAAACTACTCTTATGACAGAGGTAGATATACATTCTAAACACAGCTGAACTTTGTTTTTGTCACATCAGGAGGGATTGTGATGTTAGTTTTATCCAGTCAAAAGCAGGCACATCCTCTAAAGTGTGTTGTGTACACAACAAATTAAATTTACTTTGTTAATGAAGTCCAAAATTCGTTTGGAGGCTCTAAACCTACTGTGAGGAACTTTTGACTCCTCCGTCTGGCATTGAGATTAGTTACACAAACACTGCTTTCTCTAAAGTTTCTTTATTTGGAGAATCAGAAACTTAGTCTTTAATGCTTCCGCGGTTTTTCCACGATACTCTTAGCCACTGGAGTTTGCTTCCTTCTCTTGCGCTGATAAACCAATCGTTGCAGGAATGTTGCTACAGACTCCAGATTTAAAACTCTGATATAGTGTGAAACACAGAGAGATTTACGTGGCGCTGATAAGCTTCATCAGCATTATGTGAACTTGTTTGGCCTGAATGTAACACACTCTGGCTTTAACTTACAGTTGTCGCAGACCTGACAAAATCCACTATTTTTTAGTAAGCTTTGTGTGCTACACACCCTTTTACCCTCCAAATTAGAAAATGTCACATGAGCAAAACACACAATTTGATAAACAGGGTCATTTGCAGTCAGCTGTCTTTTTTTTCTACAAGAATAACATCAAAAATCTTGGAAAACACATTTTTAAACCTTACATACTCCAAAAAAACCTTTCAAATTTATATCATCAGGGTTATTTTTTACATGTTTACAAAGCTCTGCAACAGCCACACAGGACATTACCCAACTGTTGTCACATGCTGAGTAGTACTACCATGATGAATGAAAGGATTTGGTGTTTAACACACTGGTGGAGTTTCTCTTTAAAGCTGCTACAGTCAGTATTTTATAATACCCCTCTGGAGGTTCTCTATTTGAACGACTGGAAAAGCACACAACTGATGCTTTTGTCTGTTATTCAAGGTGCTGGGCTAGAATTTTAAAGAAACTAAACACGTACAGTTTTTTTTGTCGGTAATGGAAAATTCCATTTTAGTTTCACGCATTAAATTAGGCAAAAACATGATCTAATTTGTTTGCTCTGAACTTTGAGATTCAAGGCCGCAGTAAACAGTGGCTGAAGAAGACCCCAGAAGTTTCTGGCTCATCACCTGACTGCTTGTATGTTAACACAGTTACTAGTCGTGACTCAGACTAGCGTCTTTATCGTTATTCAGCACCCCGAAGCATTTCAAGAGCCACATGCTTTTCTCAAGACTCTCTCAGACAACAAACTGAGCAATAAGGAATGCGAATACCAGGTTTAAATTCATCAGGTCACCAGAAACATGACTCCCAGTGTTTTTGCTGGTCTGCTAATCAGAAAACAGTTTGAGTCATTTTAAAATGCCACATATCAGTGTTGTATCCACACCTTGTTTCTGCTGCCTCCTACTGGCCAAAATCATGGAAGCTTAAGTGCTATTTAATTACAACAATCAAACCCCCCCCAAAAAACAGTTTCTCATCAGCTCCCGTGCTTCCTTGCGCCTCCTTACAGACATTCATTCCAGTGGGATTCAGGCATGTATTAGCTGTGTTCAGATGTGAGGGAGACACTTGTTGTAAAGTTTCACGTTTTTTTTTTTTTTCCTGCTTTCTCGGTGGCAAATGAAAATGGGAGCCGGCTGTTTTTGAGGGAGAAGAAAATAAGAGTCTTAGTGACAACAATAATCCATTGAGCAGCAAAACAGAGCTGGCGGTGGTCCAGACATTCATGTTCCTCCAGAGTTGTGCAGTGAAGTGCGTCACCTCGGCACAGCTGACCTTTGTGGTTATTGGACCATGACAAAGACGACTCTGAGAGACACTCGCAGCTTTGTGCTGCTGTTCTTATGGGGACTTTAATCAACTCTATTTGTTCCCCAGCCCTTAACCTAATCCTTACTCTGAGTTAAACAAGTTCTTTTATGTTTGGGTACTTTTCCAACAAATACCAAAAACAAGAAAATAGGCTCTTTTTGGGGGTTTTACTATTCAAAACAAAAAGCTAAATCACTGTGAAAACTGGGCCATTTTTCTGTTTCTCTGTGTCCATGAACATTGAGAATCAAATGTGGAAAACAGCATCTGGGTACTAAAGTATAAACTGTTTTCCTGCCAGATGACAAACAAAATAGCACATTTTTCTAACAAAAGCAAGGTTGCCATTATCTTTAAAAAAAAAATGGGGAAAAAAACCTTTTGTTTTTGGCTTAAAATGCAAAAGAAAAAGAAAGAAAGAAAAATAGGAATGTCTTCAGTTTTTTTTTCTTGTTTGGTTTAAAGTGGAAAAGTAAAAAATGTAGATTAAAAAAGTAGGATTACATCATAACCCCCAAATCTGCTGCTTTTCTGACTTTGTTACACTTGATTTTTATGATATTTGGACATGAAAATGGAAAAATTTACCCATTTTAAAAAAATTTCCCCCCATTTTTTTCTTATAAAACTGAAAAAAACTGACAATTTTCTTGTTTTTTTTTTTTTTTCATTGTTGTGTGCAACAGAAAATGACAAATGGACCCAATTTTTCTTTTTTTTTTCTTTCAAACAAGGGAAAGAAAAATGAGCCCATTTTCTTCCTTGTTTTTTCCCTGGTTTTGGTATTTGACAGGAAATGGATTATACTTTATTCCCCCGACCCTATCACTCTAAAATATGAATTACCTTTAATCAAAGACTGAACCTCTTCTAATTTGAATTTTAAGATCAGTCTGAACCCTATACCCTCACCCTACATACTACATTGTACATTCCTGCCCGTTTTATTATCATACCCTCGGTCCAGGATGGAATTATGACTATATCCGGGGTATTCCAATAAGTGGGCCTCAAGATTTTCGTTTTGACAAAAACCAGGATTATGACATTATTTTATGACAATAAACGGGCTGTTTTACTATAGGTTATATAGGAAATGATTCAGGACTTTGACATTTTATGATTATAAATGGCATATTCTATAAAGTGGTTTGACATTAAGTGGGCACCACTGGATAGTGACTTTTTTTATTCCCATTGTGAAAGGGGATTTGTAGCCTTGTTTCTATTGAGTCGTCAAGCAAATTTGAAGCAACCTTTTAAATGTTGCCAAAAAATGTCATAAAGGAAAACGTGAATTAGTCTTGTTTTTGATCAGCCGTTTCAGAGGGAATAAGCTGCTGCATATTGTTGGCAGAAGGTGGCGCTACAGGCTACACTTTTTCCATCATTTCTTCATCAGTACAGCCGATAGACACATGACACTTTAGGATGAAAACACATTTGAGTTCTGGTAAAAACTGACACCAGACCAGTTTTTTTCCCATCCAGGTGTCACAGTCTGAACACTGAATCTGGTTTCTGTTCATTTTTTTTTAACCAACTTTGAGCATCAATATTATGGGATGTATGATAGTTTGAAGAGTAATACTGCAGCAGTTTAATGTCTATGAAACAGAGTGATAGAAACAATCTTTGGTACCCTGGATGTGTTTCTGGTTTCTGATCGTTTACAGAAAAAAATGCATTCTGGGTAAACTTTCAAGGCTCATATCAGCTTATGTGATGGTGGTTGGTCAGAACTAGTTCTAGACAATGAAAGGATCATTTTTTTACACACATTTGGTAGCAGGATCATCTTCTAGACACGATTCACTTTGTTGTACTTTTTAAAAGAATGAATGTGTTTTTCCTCCTAAAATGTCATGTGTCTATCTGCTGTACTGATGAAGTTCTGAGGCTCAGAAATGATGGAAAAAGTCCATTAAAGCGACAAATGTGGACCCTCCTCTTTGGACTTCAAGGGTCTGAAACTTTGAAAATATTCATAGTATGAAGGTAAAACTTTGCACAACTTCATTAAATATACAAAAGTTACTGTAGATCTAAAAAATCTGATGATTCTGTGGTCTGGTTTTTGACGAACAGTTATTTTTTTGTATGGAATGATCCTACAAAGCACACACACTGTTCAGTTGTAAAAAAAAAACAAATATAATAATAATTAAATAATCCATTTGAAAACAATCGCTGTAGGAATGACAGAAGGCATGAATGACAAACTGCAGGTTGTTGCAAACTGGAGTTTCTCAGTCGATCCCTGATGGAGACATTAATCTGGAGGTGAGGAAACTGTAGATCAATGGAGTTCTATTAAAACAGTAGACTGGCAGGTCAAGTGCCAAAACTGTGCAGGACCAAAAGTAACTCAGAAATCTCAGTACCTGGCAGTGTAATCACTGACTCATTGGTCCTGACGAACTAATCAGTGCATCAGTCAGCTGGATGGAAGCATTACAGTCAATCTGTGCAATAAAAATCTTCTTTACAGCCCCTTTAATGTCACAGTAGCTTCAACCCTGGTTCTCTTGTGAAAGGTTGCCCTGTCAGCCTGCTACCACAGTTTCATAGTTTAGGCTTTGTCAGCTTGTAAAATCCAAATTTTTGGGCAAATGATAGGCAGAATCTTATTTCCTGAGATTTTCTGTTTTCCTGTTTTTTCCTCTTGTTATCTCCTGTTTTGATTTATTGTCCAGATTACATTCCAAACCATGTTTCCTCTATCATCCTTTACTGTCTATGTCAATTCAGACAGATTTCAGGAAACACGTTGTTGCACTGTCTCATATTGAGTTCAGAGTTTATAATTTGTTTTTTGGGATCCAAAGCCAAGTTCTGTAAAATAGTGTGGCTGAATTTTGAGAATTCCAGATGTTTTCAGACCTGGGTATTTGTATATTTTCACCCACAGAAAGACATCTTACCTGTGAAGCAATTTTAAGGGTTCAAAATATCCTAAAATCTGAGCACACAGAGAAAATTGAATTTAGCTGATTTGAATCATTGACGTTTGTGGATTTTGCACTCTGGGGAAAAAAAAATCACAGTGAGGTTGGCATTGTGGCCCCAGATAGTTCCTGTAAGTGTATATATATGGATGTGTCCATGTTTCCTACAAAAAATGCAGTCTTTGGTCGACATTTCAGTGACTTTTGAGGACTTTACCATCAGTGAAATGTGATGTGTGATACGTGTTGCAAACCAAGGCTTCTAGCTTTTTGCTATTTTGACAAAATGTTGAGGTAGTTTCACACAAAAACACTTACAGAAACTTTCTGGGGCGCCAATACCAACCTCGTTTCAAGGTGTTCCCCAATTTGTCCTCTGCTGGAGCCACTCAATCATTATGACCTGCAGGAAACTATTCTGTCTGCGTCCTCAAGCCAATTTTATGACTGTGGGAGTTTTATTTCTGGAGGTACCAAACAACTAAAATTCCTTTAGGATGTTTTTTTTGGGGTTTTTTTTTTGAGGGTGAAAATAGGTCTAGAAGCATATAAAATTCTCAATATCCAGAAAAGTATTTTACAGAACTTTGTTTTGGGTGCCAAATAACAAAAAAGTAAACCGTGAACTAAATCAGACACAGTGGAGGAACACTGCTATGTGAAATCAAAGGAACTGATCCTCGTCTTAACTCTCTGTGTTGCAGCCGAACTTGTACCCGACTGTGGGCCTTCAGACTCCAGGGGAGGTGGTGGATGCAAACTTCGGCCAGCACCCGTTTGTGTTTGACATAGAAGACTACATGCGAGAATGGAGGACAAAGATCCAGGCCCAGATCGATCGCTTCCCCATCGGAGAGCGCGAGGGCGAGTGGCAGTCCATGATCCAGAAGTAAGACATGTGGAATTATTCCAGTTTAAACCTGTAATGTGCATTTTGACTGTGGCATAATAGAGTTTAGAGAATAATTTGAGCCTTAGTTTTGGTTTTAGTCACATTTGGTGCATTTTTTCCCCCTAAATTTAGTCTAGTTTTATTTTTTAAAAAAAGCTTGCTATTACCGGTGGAATTGATATCTAACCTGTATGGTTCAGTTAAAATGTACAATGGTGCATTTTCTCAGTTAGTGTAAACCAAAGAAATTGTCTAACGATGCTTTCAAATGAGGCTTTTAACTGATATATCTATGATAAATCAGTTAAAAGCAGCTACAACTACTGTTTTTGTATCCTGCACCACAAGCTTACCAATCATTTAGCTGTGTGACAGTAATACGCCTGCTTTTCCTACACTTTGAGGTCTATTAATGCTTAGAATCAGTTGTTTTAGCAGTAAATGTACATCTTAAAAGTATTAAAATGAAGCTGACCCAGTGGTCGAGTGGTAAGCATGCAAAAATCTTTCAAAATCACCTTGCAGTTAGCAAATTAGTTTCATTACCTACTACTATATGAATAACATCTTAAATAATTAATTACTTTGTCTTTTTTAAAAAGATGTTTTTCATAAGTAGCCAAAATCCAAAACACATTGTAGAAAACTATGAAATCCATACATTTGAGAAATTGGAACTCGTAAATATTTGGCAGTTTTATTTGCTAAAAATTGCTAAAACAATACATCAGAATGGTTGTAGATTAATCTCCTGGTGATCGAATAATCAGTTGAGTTGTTTAACCTCTTCAGTGCAACATAAGCTGCAGTCAGTCGCATCAGGTACTGAAACGTGATGGTAAATGGGTCACAGGGCAAAGTGTGTAAATACTGTTGTACCAATGAGGTCTGGAGAAATTAAGAAAACACCATTTCTGCTTCGTTAATTATAATTATTGCTGCATAAATGTTATGTGGTGATGCAGCCAGCCACCACAGCGTATGTACAGCAGATGTAGTTGTTTGGGTAATATATTTTTAATCGGTTGAATTAGTAACAGAAATGAATCGATTCAAAGTGAATCATTAACATCCGTGAAACAAACGCATTAATCTTTTACTCATTCCTGTCAACAATAACAGTCAACAGATGGTGCACTGATAAGTAACAGAACTATCTCAATAGGTCTTACCTGGAAACAAAGAGCAAAACTCCCATTTCAGGGAATAACGGTCAATTGTTAAGCTTTATAATATTGTCCACAGTATTGCAAATGTTTTAAGCATTAAATTAAAAAAGGAGAGGAAAGTTTGGAGCTGCTGCTGTAGCTCCAGTCATGCCATCTGACTTCTGTTTCCAAACTGAAATCTCAGACTTCCATAGAAGCCATTTTCTGATTATGAAGTCGTGTATGTTTGAGATGTGACCTTCGTCCATGAAGGGATGCTAAAGCTTCAACACAAAACAGTGCAGGAACAATGGCTCTCCTGTGGTGTTTTCTGGTGACACATCCACAGATCCTGATGGTGCGTCCTTATTTTTGGAGTTTACACTAAAACCACTGCCAACACGAAGCACTGAGGCCCAGATGGACCAGTCCCCACAAAAGAGCTGTGATCCAGAAGTAAAAGCTGCGGACTCGGTTCCGCCTCATGTCATGGCCTGATGGGATTAGCTCTGTGTGGCTGTGATTACTTGTCCTGAATGGATTTAATCTCCATTTGATGGGGATTGGAGTGGAGGGTGGAGTGGAGGGAGTCTTTGCCTTCATCCAGAGGAGTCGCCTCACGGAATGGGATGAAAGCGTGGAGTTTGAAAGCTCATGTCAGCATCATTGTCCAGTTTAGAGTGACAGTAACACGATGATCAGTCGGCGAGAACGGAGGCTTCTCAACACAAATCTGAGATTTATAGCTTGAACTGTGTAAGCAACACTGAGGAGGAATGAACTTCAACAAACACTGTGAGAACCAGGGGCCTTATTCATACAAAGGTTCTCAGATTGAGTTTAGTTTTAAGATCATTACTGATGGTGTGTTTACATTCTAGTATTCATAAAACATGTCGAACATAAAAATCCTCACTTAAGCAGGTTCTGAGGATCCCAATTGTGACTTGAAATTGCTTAAAAGTGCTTTCCGGTATAAAAACACTTAAAACAAAAGTCAAACAATTGAGGTCAAGATGCTGCTGTGTTATATGTGATGTGAATTTACCACCAACATTTTATGAAATACAACTTTACCCGACTTTAGTACCTATAAAGGCTTATACACGACAGTATTCAGTGTAGATGAATCTAATGTACAATTTAGGTTTTGACCACACAAAATATACATGAAAACATCTTGTCTTTAGTTGTATTATTTAGTGTTTTTATACATTAATATTCAGAGGAAATGATCTGATCTTAAATTACAAGGGGCCAGAAACAACAGTCATGGTTGCTTCATTCTAATTCAAATCGCCTTGCGTCTGGCAACTCGTACTTTACGCCCTAATTTCCAATAACATACATAAAGCTCCACAGAAATTCTAACTGCACAACTTTCCACAGGATAATTTACATCCAGTCTACAATTTGCTTAGATAAGATTATTTCCACATCAAAATAAGGTTAAAAAAAAAAAAAAAAAACCTACTTCTGTTTAATTCATACTTAACCCTTTGAAATCAATCCGTTTCTGAGTGTTTCATTTTTCTTCACTGTGATTCATTTTTCACTGCAGTATTAAGTCTTGGAGCTCAGTGGAAACATGGAGAAGGAGAGAAATGTCTTCTGTCACTGTGACACAGTTAGAATGATGGAAATCGTAAAACATAAATAAAATAATTTCATTATTTATTTTTCAAACGTTTTAAAAACCTGGAATCGACATGTTCAGTATTTTTCGAGTGTCCCCAGCTGTCCGGCTCCATGTACTACAGATGTCACTGCTGATGTTTTTAATATCTGCTCTGTGTAAACACAGCCTGCAGCTCAGTCCAGTTCAGGTGAATAGTCCCTGAATGTTTCTCACATGACTCTCACACCTGAGTGACTTGTGACATTTTATTCATACTGAGAAGCGCGTTTTGTTTGTTTGTTTGTTTTTTCTGGTTTACAGAATCTGGTGTAAATGATTTTATTTGGCATTTTAAAAAAAAGAGGCATGTAGAAGAAAATAATTGTGATAAAACGTCATGATTTCAAGCTTAGATTTGGTTATTTCTTTCTGACAAAACCAAATATCACATGCGATTAGTTCAACTACTGTCGGAAAGTTTAAAATCTATCAATTTTCCTGTTTTTACAGTTTCTGGTACTGACATATGGTGCAATTTTGCAGATGTTTAAAAAAAAAAAAAAAGGCTGCCTTTTAAACCCAGTGGTAGGTTTTGGGGTTCAGAAGATTAAGATCAAAATTAATTTGAAGCTGTTTTATGAATCCACACAGTTCACAAACTGACTTGTTTAACGTATTTTATTGTAAATGCGAGCCCACAGTTTTCCTGTGCAATGAGGAATTGTGACTGACAAATCAGATGCTTTTAGTTTAACCTCATATCAGTGATTAAGATGCATTTTCTTTTAAAAAATGCTCATTTACTTGGTGATTACTTTGATGCCATAACTGATACCAAAAAATATGAGAAAAGTTTCCAAGTTCTTTCTTGACATTATAAAATAAAAATCAAAAATCTTGACTCAGTGCCTATTTGGAAGCGGTTTTTTCACCATCAGTTGGTCCTCAACCAGAGGAAATCTTGAACTGAAATTTTAGGATCCTGATCAGACCAGAGATAAACAACTGTAATCTTTTCTTACTGCAGTTTAAAATCTGAGTGAGACAGTTTTTTCTTTTAGTCTGGACAGAAAAAGTGCAGTTTTTGTTTTAGATTGACTCAAATCAGCAATTTTTTGAATGCTTGGTTGGCAGGTTTCTCGTGTTTGAAGTATCTCTGAAGTACTGACGCAAATAAATCTTGTGAATGGAGGCGAACAAAACGGTGTTTCAGTTAAAATCTCAACTAGATGTTGAGGTGTTTGACATTTTATTCAGCTGCAGCACATATGTCAGTGTTTCATTTATATGTTGGAACACCAGAACGGTAAATACGTCTGTACAAACATAACACACAGAATCACTGAAACAGATAAATATGTGACCAAATCTAAATTTTAATGCTCTGTTGTTTTCTAATTTGACAGATGGGATCAGTTTGGTTCATTGTGATCACTGAGTGTGCTTCTGTTTTTCTTGTCTGGTCAGGATGGTTGCTTCCTACCTGGTGCACCACAGCTACTGTGCCACAGCTGAAGCCTTCGCCAAATCCACCGACCAGGCCGTGCACGAGGAGCTGGCCTCCATCAAAAACCGACAGAGTGAGTAGGACATCCCATCTTTTCAGCGTTTTGCATCAGAAACTGAAGTCCACATGATTGATTCTGTGTGGATAAACAAAGCAGTCAGTTTTGGCACTATCTCTGTGAATTTAAACCAGCTGGATTGTTTACTTTGTACACTAACTGCAACAAACTGCTTACCATTGAGATTAGTGTGTGTACATACCAAAAAACACAAATCCTTGTGCTGAGTAAACAAAGCTTTCACTATGAGCTGTGACTAATTCCATAAAATGCTTAATCCTTTCTCACTTTTTGCCCCCGTCTCATTTTTCCTCACTGTGGTTCATTTCTCACTGCAATCTAAAGTCCCGCAAGTCTGTGGAAACGGAACAACCGTGAAGAAGGAGAGAGAACTCAGACATGTCTTCTGTCACTATGACACAGAATGACGGAAACTGTTTAAAAAAGCAGAAACAAAAGAATGAATAAAACTTTTTTTTTTAATTGATTATTTATTTTACAAATATTTAAAGAACATGAGATCAACATTTTTCATCAGGTGTTACCAGTATGGTGGCTCCATTATAGATATTTTGCTACTTATATATATTTTCTTTCGTTCTTGCTTCTCTCTAATTTGTGTAAACACTGCCTGCAGCTCAAACAACTTCTCTGAATATTTGCCACATGACTGTTGGTCTCCAGTCATGAATTCTCAGTTGTGCTGAAAAGCCAAGAATTCTTTGGTTTTTTCAGAAACTCATTAGAGCAAATCTATATTATATCAGACATGTAAAATAAAGCGATTTTGATGCCAAAGGTGCTCGGAAAGTTGAAAATCTGTTTCTGTTTTTCTAGGTTTTCTAGCTGATAAATGGTGTCGTCTTGGCGATTTTGTTTAAGACTCTATGTTTTGGGTTTCACAGGGTTAAAATGTTTAATTGCATTTTTTGAGCAAGTGGCAGCACAGAATGGCAGCATGTTCCAAAATCAATACGACAGGCTGACATGCTGATAAAATAGTCTCAGAGGGAATCTTTTTTGACATTATTTGGTTGATGCCTCCAGTTTTTTGTTGTTGTTTTTTTTTTTTTAAATACTGATATGTAATATTGTTTTATTATTGTTTAAACATATTGTGTTCTGAACATACTTTGTTTGTGTGCAGAGATCCAGAAGCTGGTGTTGTCTGGTAGAATGGGCGAAGCCATCGAGACCACCCAGCAGCTCTACCCCAACCTCCTGGAGAGGAACCCAGACCTTCTCTTCATGCTCAAGTGCGACCACGTTTGCATTTGGACGTTTCTTTTCACAGCTAATCGATGGAACTGAATCAAAAATTGGATCATTATCATTTTAAAATGTGTCCCTTTGACACAAACGACTGCTTGAAGCATCTTCGCCTTTGATTAGTCTGTCAAATGTGGTATCTAGTAAAAGGATTCAAGAATTCAGTGCAATGGCATTTTTAGTTCTCACTGTTGTTACTGCATATGACGATAAAGTCGTTTAATCCTTGAATCTCATTAATAAATAACATGTTTATCAGCTTTAGTGAAGACAGATGCTCCAAGCAGTCATTTGGTAACCAAGGTTAACAAAATTTACATGTTAAATCCTAATGATCCAATCCATGCCCAATAGTGATAGTGGAGAAAAAAACCCGGATTTAAAGCAAAGTTTTCTTGCTGTATATTTAACTCAGACTTCATGGTGAACCAACTGTGATCTGCAAGTCAGTCATTTATTTGGATGAGAGAAGAAAATTCTGATCATTTAAATTACGAATGGGCTGAAAACAAGGCTTATCCTGATAGAGTTGATCCTTGTCAGTGTTTTTCTGTTCTAATCTGTGAATCTCCTGCGTGTCTTGCTTTGTACTGAATATTCCAATATATTTAATTATATTCTGACCTCTATTGTTGTTTTTTCCTCCTCCTGTCCTTATATCCATCTGTTCTCCCTTCATTCCATCATTCCTCTCTCTTCTCTCTCTTTTAACCGTTCCTCCCTGTTTGTCCGTCCTCAGGGTGAGACAGTTCATAGAGATGGTGAATGGGACGGACAGTGAGGTGAGATGTCTGGGAGGTCGCAGCCCTAAGTCTCAGGACAGTTACCCCGGCTCCCCCCGGCCCTTCAGCAGCCCCAGCCACAAAGCCAGCAGCTCCCAGCCCTACCTCACAGGTACAGTCCAGCTGTGCTCAGTGCACCCACATCTGGAGAATAGAACATCCAGAGAACAAATACAGCTGTTTCACATCTAGTCAGGACAAAGACCTTTTTAAAGCTGCAGTGTCTTACCTAGAAATGTATTTCATTTGTTGATGTCCAGCTTTGACATATCGACACATCGATATTTTTGTTTTTTATGGATCCGGATCAAGTTTAGGGCTTCAGTGCATGTTGGTTGATCCCTAATCTGGAGCAGCATAACATCTTCCTAAAGTCAGATTAACTCTCGACAGTCTGTTCTAACTGACAGACACAACCTGCAAAAACTGAACAAGAAGCACAAACGTCTCAACAAATCATTAGCTGTTTTCACAGTGGCTAATGCTACGCTAACAGCCCGCAATTAAGTTAGGAGGCGGCCACAGATTAACTTGAAACAGTGAAATTTTTAACATGTGAGCCTCAGCAGCTAATAAAAGTGACAGAACAGAGAAAGAATAGGAAAACAAAGAAGTAACCTCATTGTGAATCAAAGGTTCCCTGCTTAAATGCTGTTGATATGTTTAATGAATATTGGTTCCACATTTCAGTTGACAGGTTACTAATCATGAGTATCAGCTGTCAAGTGTGTGTGTATGTGTGTATATATATGTATATATAAGACTCAGGCAGATGACAAAATGTACATCAAAAGCATGAATTGCGCAAGTTTTTCTGTATACATTCTAAAGATGTCTTTTGCTCTGTTTTAGGGTTCGACAGCAACTGCTGTAATGGTGTGACGTCTAACAAGAGCCACAGCTCCTCCCCTCACAGTCATAAGCCCTGCCCCCCAGGCTCTGGCCCCGCCCCTCCACCGTCTGACATTAGCCTCAACGGGAGTCGCAGCCAACAGCCCATAACCAGGTACTGAGAAAAAGAACCTTTATACAGCAGTGACGCAACCGCTAGCTCACTTTAGGCATACACCTTTACACAAATCTATCTGTACATGATTTTTAAAAAATTTTTTAAATGAAATAATCCTTTTTGTAATCTGCTGGTTTGTTTAAATGAAGATATGTTTTTATGTACTTTAAGAGCAAATTCATTGTATGTGTTTATACTCTTGTCCAGTAAAGCAGATCCAGATTCAGCAGGTCAATGCTGGTTTAAACCTGCTGATTGATGCAACATTGTGCAACAGATTACTGTCTGCAATCCAGCAAGAAATAATCATCTCATCTCATTTGTCCACCTCAAAGCAGATATTCAGATTTACTCTTAGCTAAGCTAACTAGTGGTGCATTAAGTTTCCAATCAAAATGAGCCAGTTTCAGTTTAGAAAACGGTTTACGCTAAAATGTCTCAACATCTTGTTTACAAAATAAGCATCCATCGTTCACTGAGGAGACATTAGTTTGTGTGCTGACAGTTTGTGTTTTTCCTCAGTAACGATGTGGACATGGAGGTCGACCACTTCACCAACGGAGTGACAGAATCGTCCTCCAACGGTTTCCTCAACGGCACCTCCAAACACACCGCGGAGCCCGACGACTGCGACGCAGACATGGGTAGGTAGAGCGTTTGCAGGTTTCAGCGACTTTGTTTGAACACCTGTCAGCATTATAGTGTAGTGCTTTTGTGTTGATATTCTAGCAGCCTCTTCGGCAGGTGTTGCGCTTTTTTCTAGCATCTAGTTCGCTGTAACAACTTGAGAATGAACCACTGGTGAGCAACTCATGGTTTTGTGCTGAAAAAAGTCCTGCTGTCATTGTAAGCTGCTGTTCGGGCCCTCTGCGTGAATGTCTGTATTGTTAGTGTACCAATATGTTCAGCCAGCATTAAAAACAAACCCCTTTTGCATGCTGAACTGACCGCCGCCCTGCAGAGGTGGAGTCTGCTCAGTCCAAGAGGCAGCTGTGCGGCGGGAGCCAGGCGGCTATCGAAAGGATGATCCATTTCGGCAGGGAGCTCCAGAGCATGAGCGAACACCTCCGCCGCGAGTGTGGCAAGAACTCGGCCAACAAGAAGATGCTCAAGGTAACAGAAAACTCGTCAGTCTGAGTTTTATTTTGGATACACATCCACCATGTTTAGTTGGAGTTTCTCTTTAAATTTACCTGTAAGGATGGAGGTAAACCAATCAAATCTCAGGATGGTAATGGTTAATTGTTAACAGATTTTGTTTCTGTTAGTATTTAAATCATTTAAAAAATATATATGAATTGATAAGGCAGAAGAAGGTCATGCATGTCAGAGAAGGTATCATCGATCAGCCGTAGTACCTGGTTGTTCCACCAGGTGGAGCCTCTTACTGTTTTAGAGACCAGAGGAAGCGTCACTCAGACTACAGGCAGTTCATGTTGGCAAGCAGAGAGCATTGTGGGAGTTTAGCTAGCAACGGACACCATGACAAAGACTTCTGTGGAGGTTAATTAATGGATACCAGAGCTGAGATGTTGTATCCGAGCTGTACTCTGCTCAGACAGCGCTCTTGTAACCAAAGCATTCGATTAATGACTTTTGGCACAAGTCTGTTCTCAAAAATGATTTAATTAGCATACAGACTTATATTTGCTGTAGTGAATCTGTGTAATTCATTGATTGGCTACCAACAATTGTGCCATATGAAGCCAAACATGCAGTGGTCACAGATGTGATGCTGCTGAAATACTATTATATACTACTAATAACAGTGAATATTTTCAGCCTCTCCAAGAGGACATCAGTTGTTCAGTAGCTGTGTTGACACTTTTAAAAATGAGTTAATAAGTTCAAACTCAGCCTACTTTATCACCTCCCCACAGCTTTGATGTTTGGTTGTTGGTTTCAAATAGTTACAGAAATTGACCTCTTAAAAGAATAAGTTTTAACTTTGTGGAATAGACTTAAGAGAATGTGCTGAACTCCACACCAGGTATGGACTGATGGTGCTTCACAGTACAAGAACATGTGTGAAGGCGAACATAAGGTAGTGTGCCGTGGTGTGATGATTGTTTGTTTCCTGCTCAGGATGCATTCAGCCTGCTGGCCTACTCGGACCCCTGGAACAGCCCGGTTGGCTATCAGCTGGATGCCATTCAGAGAGAGCCGGTCTGCTCCACGCTCAACAGTGCAATATTAGGTAGGTCAACACTGCCGGTAATAAATCCAATCAAATCTGACCACGTGACCAAAGAATTTAACCTGTTGTTTAAATTTATTTTCTTCCACTAAGAATGCACATGGCAGATTGCAGACCAGTGTGAGCTAAAATTAAAACACATCGCACCACTTGTCTCCAGCACACAATGTTTGATTCATCAGATGTTTTTACCGAACTTGCTTTCGTCAGTTACATGTTTTCATTTAGATAAAACAACTGGCATAAACTAACCTGTACAAGCCTGAAGGCCTTTTCACATAAGTAGATAAGTAAGAAAATCTGTTAACAGACACTTTAATGTTCCTCACAGCTTCATTCAGACACCACAGCAACAGAGAGACAAAGTACAGCAGAGATTACACAGAACATCAAGTAATGCATAGTTCCGAACTGATAAACAAAAAGTGAATCAAAATCAACTACATAACCAATGATTTTCCTTCAGCTGATAAACTGATGCCGACAGCTTACCTGCCTGAGGTGAAAAAAAAAGCTCAGTGCGACCTGCTGTTAGATCCTGATCCATCCTGACTCCATGTCAGGGATCATTTATAATTATTAGCAATAAGGAAGTTGTGTTTTACGCAATGACTGTTTCTCTTTGGAGATTCATCTTGATCCTGCTGCTGTCTGATGCTGCAGATATTTATCAAATTTAGAGGAAAAGCTCCTACAAACCAACAAGCAAAACTTCACTTCCTGTTAACATTAACATAATCATGTCACTGACTCAGAATATACAATATTAGACAAGTACAACAAATAGTCTTCGACTATGACTGAGTTAAAATATAAAAAATGAGAACTGTTTTTTGTGTTAACATGAGCTCAAAGATAAAACTGTTCATGATGGCTTTGATATTTTTTTCCATTTTAGTTCAACTTACCCATAATCAGAGACTATTTGGTTCACTTGTCCAATATTACAGATATTGCAGTGCTGTGGGGTTTTAAAAAAAATCTTTAATAGTTCCTAACAGTAGAGCAAAAAATTCCAAGAAAGTGGGTCAGAGAGCAGTTTTCTAAAGAATTTTATCCACAAAGTATTTCATATATCAAGTTAAAATTTCACAGATACTACTGTACATGTCAATAGTTTATGTTAAAAATGTTTTAAGCAAGTCGGACATGGTGGAGCAGGAATTGCTCTAAAAATGTGATCATTTGGAACAACCCTCTTCCTGTTTAGTTGTCAGCAGTTCTGACAATGTTCCTCTCCTTTTTTTTTTTTTTCCCTCCAGAGACTCACAACCTGCCCAAGCAGCCGCCGCTGGCCCAGGCCGTGGGTCAGGCTGCCCAGTGCCTCGCCATCATGGCTCGAACTGGCAGCGGCTCCTGCGCCTTTGCCTCTGTGGACGATTACCTGCACTAGCCCCCCCGAGTACAGCACCAACACTCTCCGAGGGCCTGTCCAGAAATGCCTCCGCCCACCTCCTCCATCAGTGTAGTCCTATTAGCCGAGGAGACGCTCCTCTGCACGATGTAGTAGAAAGCTGACCATCTCACTCGCTTCTCGTTCTGCGACACGAACACCACCGAGGATCCGGAGTCATTTCTGGGCAGATCTTTGGAGCGCCGACACACACACCCGCATACATTTAAAACTCAAACGCCACCTCCCTTCCCATCGTAAATATGAAACTACACCGCCACCTTGGTTGCCCGCCACCCTCTCCTCCAGCCCCCCCGAGGCTGCATCCTTCTGACTGACCGAAACGGCAGCCAAGAGCAGTTGACTTGAAAATAATCGAACTCGTGCGGACTCGCCACAGATTAAAAAAATGGGGCAGATAGACTGGCAAAAAAAAATAAAATAACACCCCAGTCAAACATAAATGGGGAAAATGAGGAGAAAAAAAAACATCAAAAAAGAAAACAGACAAGTGACCGACCACCCTTTAACGTGGTCGCCGCAAACCAGGCAAACACACACATGTAACAAACGCAAACATGGAGTTAGGCCGCTGCTGAAAGCAGGTTGAAAATCTCCACCAAACTCCGGCTAACGCGAGGCTCAGTTATGGACGGCCGACTCCCCCTTTACCGTCTCCCTGCACCGACTCCTCCCCCCTCCACTGACTTCAGGAAATCGGCAGAGCCTCGTGTGACGCATGTGGACTCGGGACTTCGAAGAAGCCAGAGAGAATCTACCGTCTCGACTCAACGTTCCCTGTTTTTAATCTTCTGTTTAGTTTTTGTTGTTTCTTGGGCGACGTGGGGGAAACTTGGGAGGCGTGGTTACCTGGCTCTTGTTTTGTTTTTAGTTTATCCAGGTTTACGAGGCTTGGTGCAGATGACGATGATTATTATTATTATTATTATTATTCTAATTATCATTATATTAATTGTTGTTACTTGCATTCACAGTATATTTGTTGAGCGCCAGCAAGAGCAAGTTCCACCAACTTATAATAAAGGTCCCGATTCCACCGATTACCAGTGACGAGCGTGTGTACATGTTAACGTTTATATATGAATTTAACAAAATGGAATTATATCAATAGAGCGAGATATTTAGTTATCCAATGAAAGGAAGTTCATTGAAAAAAAACAATCCTTTAATGCTTTGTACTGACACCAGTGACCCCTAAAGCTGCTGGTTGTTCCTGGTCCCCTACGGTTGCTTCAGGGTTCCTGCGCAGGTGGAAAGTTGGCGTATTTGACTGTTTTCCAGGTCTGTAAAATTTTGGAAACTGCTCTCAAGTCAGAGTTTTAGAATTTCACATGTTCTGGTTCCTACCTAGCCCTTATTACAGTCTTGCTAAATTTATTGGAGAAGATCTTCACACACTTCTGGACAAAGTCTGGATTTTCTGAGTTGGAAATCCTGTGCAGGAACCCTACGATGAAAACCGACCGCATTGTTCTTGTTAACCCCCAAACCCCCAGCTGCACAGCAGGTTTGATGCAAACATTGTTAATCTTTATTTTCGTATTGATGTCTATGCTAATCTTTAACTTACAAAGAACTCAGGAGCCAAAATGTCCCTTTGTTCGTCCTCCTCGGTTTAGAACCAAGCAGCCGACTGACCCCGTGCCTCGATCATAGGTGGACTCAACTTTTCAGACTTGAACTCAGACCAGAGGAACTGAGCCGCTAAACGAGCTCAGCCATTGATTTAAAGTCGAACTGAAATTTAAATTAGTTTCCTCCTTTTAGTCTGTGCGATAACACACAGGAGGAAAAGACACATGAAATAAGCAGCCAATGGCAGGCTTATACCCACAGTCTACATCCGGTGAGTCTGAATACTTCTTTACTCGATGTGAAGGGGAACAGACATCAACACAGTACAGGCTGTCAACTTTTGTGTTTAACTACAGACTGCAAAACATCATTGCTGTAGAAATGATGATACAAGACATTTTAACCATCCAGAGAGCGTTGGTCATCAGCTGTTGACACTTTAAGCTAGCTGTCCCTTTGCAGCATTTGACATTAAAGTGGACTGTTGTGTTTTTGTTTCACTTGAAAAGTGGAACCCACAAAGCTAGGCCAAGCTACTCATCCTAGCTGACTAACTGTAGCACTGATTCCCACTATTATTATTTTAACTTCTGCTGAGTCATTGGCTGGCCGCTAGCTATTGTTAGCTATCTGTCTGTCTGCCTGTCTGCCATAGATAGTGACAGTTAAAAGACGACACTAAAAACTCAGAGATCTGAGTCATGGCATGAAATAACTAATGTACAGAGTCACAGATCCTGTTTATACTTGGTTTCTATTATCTGAATGTTAAAAACACTCAACAATGAGAAAAAACTCAATCAGAAAAGAGTGTGGATGAGGAAAAAGTTCAGAAAGACGGGATCAGCATGGTTTACCTAATCTTCAGCAAACCAGAGGTGTGAATCAGTTTTAATATCTGTAGCTAACGTTAGCATTACTTGGAAACGCTGTCTACCGCTCTGGACATTAGCATGATAATTGGAACTTCCTGATTTTAGCTAACAGGTTTGATATTATGGTGGTCCTGATGAGTCAGCGAACACTTTGAGAGGTTTCATACTGGACCTGGAACTAACTGTGACCAACATCGGTTCAGACTAGATTCCTCTACTGACTGTCAGGAGGGTGAAATGAGGCAAATCGTCCCAAAACTCCTGTTACGTGAACTCGGCCTGAGAAGACAAAATTCTGCCAAGGATTCATACACATGTACAATACCACCATGTCTAGCATCGATCACATATTCTCCTGTTGTGTCGCATCAGGACACGTTGGCCTTTAAGCAACAGAAGATATGCGGTCTAATTTGTCCCAAACCAAAGCAGTTTAAATGGTTTGAGAGATCAGATCACAACGCGTCTTGTTGGTCCGTTACACTTTGATGTGTTGCTGTCTTCTTGTGATCTGATTTTCATTTTAAAACAGCATATAAACAGGGTTTGCAGAGTAAAGTGTTTAAATTACAGACTGATGGTGGCCAGATCACTGTACAATCCGGTTTTGGTCTCCTTTCATGTGGTTGGATCAGGTTTAGCATCTGCATTTAGGAAATGTAAATAAATCTGGCAGCATCCTTGGCCAGATCAGCATCATCACACAAACTACTGCAGCTTAAACCAGAAAAAAACAGCTCGCTGGTCACAAATCAAGCAGATATTCACTAATTTCTCAGCAAAAACCTCATTTTAATTTCAGTTCGACTTTAATTTTAAGGAGCAGTAGTCACATTTCTCTTCAGTTTTTTCAAAATTTCGCAAACTGGCTCAAAGGTTGGTTTATGTTTAGTCAACCTGGACTCTGTAGTAGCATTTTGCTATCTAGGTGTCATTTCTGAAGCTGTTAAAACAACATTCAGGTATGAAAAGCCCTCAAGTCTGCCTGTTTTCAACCATCTATGTTCACCCATCATCCACAGAGCAGAACTCTCTGCTTCAGTTTGGTCCCTGATCCTTCTCTGGCCTTTAACTTAGCGCGTAAAGCATCGATCGACGGTGACGGTGCAAAAAGGAAAACCTTAAAAAGCATCCAGTATTGTGAGCTGCACTGTGGCTTCACATCAAACCAAATACTTAATACTATAAGACGGCGTTGCAGCTGTGTGTTTTAGGCCTGTGTGTTTGTGCTCGCCACTCGCTGAGAAACAGGAATGCAGAGGCTTTTGCGTGACACGTCATCCATCTTTTTTCCTCTAGTTTTCCCCAAGGGGTCCGGAGTTGACATTTCTCCTCACGGTGGAACCGAGCTTTTCTGTACCTTGGTTTGTTTTCTCTTTATTTTTGCGGATCGCAAGCAGTCACAGCATCGTTTAGAAAACTTCTTAGACAAAGTGTCTGTTGTCTCTTTCTGAGTAAGGTCTGAAACCTATGCATGCCATAGTAAAGTGGTGGTAAGATCAAGTTAGATGTCTCTTATTTTATTCTTTTTGTTTCTCCTTCTTTTAGCCAGTTCACGGTGTATAAGGAAGATGTCAACCAGTAAATTGTCCACTGCTGACTGTGTGTCCATTTGGAGAAAAAAAAATGTGCAATTTGTGTGAGGGTGAAAAGATTTATATTAAAAATGACAAATGATGATAGCACTTGTGTGGATGCTGCGTGACACCTGGAGCTGAAGTCTTTGTCCTGTTTTCCAGTGAATTTGTGGACTCGGAGTTCAGTTTAATCCCAGATGACGTGTTGTCCAAAGATAATCCTGCAAAGTGTTTTTCATCGTTCTGAACACACTGACCCACATATGAAACCTGAGAGGAAAAGTCCACCTTCTAGCGCTGTAGATGCTGGAGCTGATCTCCCTTTTAAATGTTGATTAGTCAGAGAAATTATGTGAAAAGATAGAAGAGTCATGGAGATGTTTTTGAGGCCAAAACTGACATCAGACAGCCGTGATGTGTTTACGGTTTACTTATTAGGGTCCGAGCACTAACAATGCAAGGACCCCATTGAAACCGGTCTAAACACTCACGAAAACTCACCAAAATCATCACACACACCATGACAGGGGAAAAATTTGATATTTTAAGGGACTTGGACATGTCACTGTCAAAATGGCTCCACAGCGCCACCTTGAAAATTTCAACGGAGTCCCATCGAAAGCACGTTTGGTTTAGAGCTGTGACAATCGGTAGGCATATAGAGCAGGTTGGGATGCACAAAAAACTTGCCAGCGCCAATCTCTAAAGTGCAACCTGGCTCAACTGCACCCCCGTACACACCTGAAATTTGGCCATCACAAACTACAGGAGGTGGTGATTAAAAGTTAGTAGAAGACTGACAGCGTGGAAATGTTGACCCCGGAATTTAGCCGAGACGTCATAAATTGCCATAAAACGCCACGTGCTGTATTACTGACCTGTACGTGCTCCAATCTGCCTAAAACTTGACACGTTTGATCACAATCCCAGCCACAGCGCGTTGCCGCCATGTCTCAACACGCATGCCGCCACGTCTCGCCATTAAACAGGAAATGGTGTCTAAATAGGCCGCACGTGCTCCGATCTGCCTGAAACTTGACATGTTTCATCAGAGTCCAATACCAATCCACTATATTTGTCATCCATGTGTCCTCTGTTTTAAAATCCTCCGACGCTACCTTTTGTTTTAACACATTTAAAGGCAAACTCATTCTAACTACACTCTCGCCTGTTGGTACAAACACCACTTTGCGAGAGCATTCCTTCACATGCATACTTGGTGTCAATCTATATACAACCTCCTGAGCGCTGACATCATGGTTGTGTAAATACACACTACCAAGTTTTTATAATGCATCTCTTGCACTCACATTTTTCTCTTTGTTTTCCTCTTTTTGAGCATTCCCTAACAATAATCCTATCGCCCTTTCAGCCTTTGAAATGTACGAAATAATGTACACTACACACGCATATGCATCCGTAACATATTGGATGCCCATATTAGCATTCCAACATTTAAGCAGTGGCTTGCTATACGGATTCACCCAAACCTCATTGACCTGCCTTTTCAAAACTACTTCAGCCTTATGAGCATGACACCTGTATGCCTTTTCAAACGTATCTTGACTTATCCGTAAACTATAAAACAAATCCTCCACACATCATAACTTCTGCTCTGGTCTGCAAGTGCATCCTTCACCGCTTGGACTATTTCTGTTGCTCTCTCTTTTTTCATTGCACAATAACACCTGCTATTCTCATCTGTCTTACATATACACTAAAATTCGCTGCCATCGACATATAAACATTCTTGCAGACACTGGCTGAGGGAAATTAAAACGACAAACCGTCTTGTTCTTTCTACAACTTTTTTTTTTAAGTTATTTTTTTGGCCTTTGTGCCTTTATTTGATAGTTCAGTGAGAGAGAGAAAGGAAAGTGGGGGAGGACATGTGGGAAAGGGTCATGAGCGGGATTCGAACTCATGACCTCCACATCACACCAGCTCAACCAGGTGAGCTATAGCGCCGCCCCCCTTTCAACAACTTTTGAATGCTCCTGTACAGACAACACAGTGTCCAACAATTCCTCATCATCTACAGGTAACTCACATGTTACATATTGATCTATAAACTCACACCTCCGCATCTGTGTTTTTTCCAGTTAATGATGCATTCTGTAACCAAAACAGACAATGCACATGTGGGGAACCACGCTGCTGGAATTCCACCCTGTAAAAATAATCCTTAATTTCACCTATAGGTTGTGCTGCAGACATTAGCGCTTCCTTCCAAAAACAATGCCACCGAAAATCGAACATTCGTGCCACAGTGACAGGATTACGACGCAACAGCTCACATCTCTCTGCCCACTCTAAACCTTCTGCTGCCTCTATTCTACCTTCCTGTTTCCAAATACTATGCAAAAGATTTTTCCAATGCATATCTGCAGAGGAAAACAAGAAAAAATCACGTGGGGATACCAAGCTGATGCAGGTCACGCTGAGCTCCCTGCTAAAAGGCTGGGGTACCTTGAATAGGTTTCAAAATCCTATACCCATTATCGCAGTCCAACTACTTCTTCAAGGACTCGTGGTCATTTACCTGATCTTTATTCACGTTGTGGGACTTACCACTGCCTTTTCCCTTCCATAACGCTATGGAAACATTAGAGACAACCTGTGGAACCTCAGACATGTACTGAGCAAAAAATATAAACTCTACATTCTGCGCAAACCTACCATCAGCATGTGAAGTTCTAGTATTAAAATAACGTGACAACGTCAAACAATGCTTCCGACTTTCATGATATGTTTTACATCCCTGTGGAAACAACACTGGGAAGCATTTTGCTTTATTGGCCTGATCTGAAAGTAATTTAACGGGATTATTCCCTTCTGCTGGCGCCAGATTTAATATGTCCTCAAAATATTGATCCAGTGCTTCCTGACTAATATCAGCAGGCATGAGACACGTATCCTGAAACATACAATGCTGCTGTCTATCGTGCAACAGCTCATCCTCAACATCTGCAGAGGTTTCACCACCTTCTACTTAATCATTGTCACTTGCCACAACTTCACTGTCTTCTTCCATACAGAATGCATTTACCCATGACTCATTAAACTCAGCCTCTTTATAATACCAATGTGCTGATTTTAAATACTATAATGCCTGCTTTATGTGCATAGTATCAACAAACTGGTACTCATAATGTCCTTTATACGTTAATTTGCGCTTTAATTTTACAGGCAACAATGAGCCTTTCATATTAGTACGGGGCAGCAAATTATTAGTCTGCACAATATTTGCAGGAACACGTCACAGGTCCATGCACTCCATTTTGATCACCTTTAGGTAATGCTAACATTTTCATAAATGGTATGTGTAATGCAATTAAATGTTGCTCTAAGCTATTCAAACATGCCAGTTCTGGTGGAATGGGATCAAGTCCCAATTTGTTGATGGCACACTCAGCTGGCATTTCACTGTTACTCACTTTGTAATGAAAACTGTGACAGATCCACAGCTGACTTCTAGCTGTATGCTTCCATTCACGGAAGAGTACTTACACAATTGTAAGGAGGACTGTGCAATGCCATATTGCACAGTCCTCCTTACAATTGTGTAAGCACTCTTCCGTGATGCATCTATCTGCAATTGCAGCTATGTCTTTTCAATTCCTATAACCATCTCTTTTGCAATTTACAACTTGCTTTCTGAACAGCAACCTATGGCAAACACAACACACAAAATCTGACCCCTCTTTAACCTTCTCTGAAAACTGCTCCATTACGAAGTCTCACTGCTGTGACTTGTCCATCATTTCTTTCTTCCTAAGTTTGCTTCCTGCTATAACACACTTCCTATGCTCAGCACTTTCACAATACTGTTTCTTTTTAACATACTTTGACAAACAATCACTACTCTTCATAAGACTTTCAATCTGTCCTTTTAACTCATCCTTAACTCTACTTTCCTCACT